ACATACTACTGTCATTGTTACCGTAGGGAGGGAAATGTTCATCTGGTCAATCGCTGTGGATGATACCAAACAGCTTGTTTTCCTGGCAACAGGGAAGCCATATGGCGGAGTAGCTAGTATGGCACCTGATGGAAGAAATGTCAGGAAAATCACCAGTCGGATTCAACCCAAGGTACTTTGCCTTGATACAGGGCGAAATATTGTGTATGCAGCGGACTCTGGATCTATATTTTCATCCTCATACTCTGGACAGAGATGGCAGAGAATAATAAGATCAGATAACACGTTAGGTCTCACATTAGGCGATCAGGGAAATGTGATGTATTATAATGAAAAGAAAAATATTGTGAGATTGGAGTTGTTCAAAAAAGAAAAAGAGAGAAAAGTTATTGGATTAAATATGTACAGTAGAAACCTACTTTACAGACAGGGTTATCTTTATGTAAGTCATATGCACGAGTGGCACATGTACGTATTGCATGAGTCTAATTATTCAAGTGTAAGGCAAGTTAATATTAAGTCCTATTACAGACTATTCATAGCTATGATGCCATAAAATGCTTGAAGTGTGGTTTGCTTTTTCAAACTTCATTATTAGTTTAGCATGAAGCAATGCTATCCGTTAAGTATAACAGATGCCTTCCGTGAAACAAGGCGTCCTTCTGAAATGTGTTTACTGGATCTGTAGCCTTAGGAGGCACCCACTCACTTGCCTGATTAAACGTGTGTTGTTTTTGTCGTCTATTAAAGCTGTTCTATTCCTCATTATATCTGGCGATCCTATTTTCAATACCTGTTAATCAATCCTTAGTGTAGTTATTTTAAGTTTTTTTAAGTTATTTTAAGGGGATCAGGGCGAAGGGGTTCGAGTCCGTTGGGGCCATGTCCAAATGTTGTTGTTCAGAGATGCTTCTCTCAAGGTGCGGAAGTCGGTGATACGAATCCTCTATCTCAGGTAAACATATTTGTAAATATTCGGGTCCAAAGGTAAATATGTTCCTGTGAATCGGGTGGTCACGCTCGCTTACTTGGTTGACACATGTCATTGTATCCCAGTTCCGCAGATTATTGCTCATGTTGTTGATCACTGGATTGTCTTGTCCAAACTTGGCTATTTACAGAACGCCACCATAAAGCTGGAATATCGCTCACTGCGGCGTTAAACAACAAAGAATCTATCAATCAACAATAATTGATTCGTTCCGTTTCCTTTTCAACATTCAAATGTGCACATGTACAATGATGTCTGAATCTAAAGCGGAAAACAACTTTCCTCCCAGCTAGCACATCTGGTCTAGTAATCCCGTGGAGTTTTACTGACTTCACTTTCAGTTTGGGAAACACCAGCAAGGGTGAAGGGATGGTGTAAATCCAACTAGGGTCCATGCAGGTAGCAAAGGTACTGTAAGTCCCCATGGTTCCTAGTATGGTGATCTACCTTCAGTTGTTGGCGATCTATGGCCTATTTTTTTTAAATATTGTACCGTGCTCTATAGTTAAAGTATTTTAGATTTAATTACTAGTTTTAAATATATATCTGTGACAGTCTAGTTGGTTTTACTGTCCTTTGTAAACCTTGTTTTCATCGCTATATGGCTGTAATATTGATGATGCGATGTAATCTTTTAACTCACTCACTCATTTTCCTGATCCAAATGAAATCTCCGCTGTAGACAGACCTAATTTCAATTCCGACTGGGTGGATTCTTAATCAAGTCCTGTTAATGACGATTTAAATTTCTAAGAGAATGCATTTTTAGAGAATTAGAGTTGTCAGAATTCTCGGAAATATAATATCTGGAAGGACATCTTCATTCAGAATGCAAGGACCCCTGGGCTGTATTAAAGACAAGACAATCCAGTGATCGACAGCATGAGCATCAATCTATGTAATTAATTACTGTATGGCATTCGACACAGAAGCCATGTACCTGGAATACTGCTGAGTGCAGCGTTAAACAAAAACCAAACAAACTTAAATCTGATTCATTTAAAACACAGCACAAACTCATTAAAATAATTTATTTCCTTTTACATGACATGAATGCCAGTTATACACATAAGCAGTGACACATGTTGCAAGTCAGAACTGTAGCTATCATCAAAACCCTCCGCATCATGCAGCTTTATGCATGACGTAGGTACATTGGTAAATGTTCCTCTGGCAAATAAAATGTTTCCAGTCTTAGTAAGCGAGACTTTGAAATTCCTGGCTCCAATTTTCATGTTGGTAATATGAAAAATATAAAAACAAAAAGTCCCATTTCAAATATCTTTTAGATACATTATCAAAGCTAATTATCAGAATTTCAATAATATATTCTTATTGAGAGCAACAGTAATTTGGTATTTCAACATTTTGTTGCTTCTGGATCTCAGAACATGAGAATCAGTACTTTTCATATAATTCCTTTCACACAGGTGTAGGCGCATTCGAAGAAGGTTTTAAGTAAGACAGGTTTTAACAGTGTTTGACCTTTACATTTATGTACAATGTCACGGCAAGCGTTTATATACAACAGTAAATACAAGTCCAAGATATCAAACAAACATTGCTTAGGTAAGAAAGATTAGAGAGGATGGTGGTCTGTCATGAGATAGCGACACAGTGAAAGGCAGGCCTAGGGGTCGCTCTTGTCTGACTCAGTCAATCAATTATCACACAGGGTTCTTTCTCAAGGACCTGGGTCCTGATCTGAAAAGCGGTTGTAGCTCTACGTCATTCGTCATTCGCAAGCCTATGGTAAACTCCAGACTTACGACTAACTGACTGACTGAGTTTGGTTTTACGCCGCTTTTAACAATATTCCAGCAACATCATGGCGGGGGACATCAGAAATGGGCTTCACACATTGTACCCATGTGGGGATTCGAACCCGTGTCTTCGGCGTGACGAGCCAACGCTTTAACCACTAGGCTACCCCACCGCCCCTTCAGACTTACGACGTAACGTTACAATTGCTTTGTGGACCCAGAGACTTACTTGCACCTGGTGCAGATTTTAGAAATAGCCTTACACCTGCTGACAAATGTAAACTTATACATAATGCTTCAGTTTTGGTATTACTTAGACAAAACATGTCTAGATTGTTTTATCTTACTTCATAAATTACCATGACATGAATAGAAACACTCAATCATTGTCTGTGGTGAAATAGGAGTCACTGCTGCAAACCAGTTCCTCATACAGTGTAGCAACACATTCCCGAGAATCAACAGCAACACTATCTTCCTATATGTGGCCCAAACATTGTCTTAAAACAGACCCGTGAAGGTCCGGGTTAGAACTGATCTTCAGTAACCCATGCTTGTCGTACGAGGCGACTAACGGGATCGGGTGGTCAGGCTCACTGACTTGGTTGACACGTCATCTGTTCCCAATTGTGCAGATCGATGCTCATGCTGTTGATCACTTGATTGTCTGGGGCTCCTTTCAAGAAGCAACCTTTACTAAGGTTAACCTTAACTCCTATTCTTTAACATTGCACTAAGGTGATCGTAAGTCACTATGGTAACCTTAGTGCAATGTTAAAGAATGGGAGTTAAGGTTAACCTTAGTAAAGGTTGCTTCGTGAAAGGAGCCCCTGGTCCAGACTCAATTATTTACAGACCGCCGCCATATAGCTGGAATATTGCTGAGTGCAGCTTAAACTAAACTCACTCACTCACCATTTTCATGGAACTGACAAACAGGAATAGGCTGAAATAAAACAAGGATCATGTATCAGCAGATCCTTGCACATTAGGGGGAGGCAACTTTGCTAAGTGAACTCAACTGCAGATCTTTAGACAACTGGGCAAAATGTTGACAAGCTAACTTAAGAGCATATAATTCATTTCAATACCGTTTGCTTTATGTTAGAAATTCAAGACTAGATTAAACTCCATTAAAATGGACTAGTATAAGCTAGTCCTGCTTTAATCAGAGTATGTGAATTTTGAAGGCTGGTCACCGTCTTGAAACTATGTACATAATCCCATTTTATATCGATTTCTCAGCACTTCATCATTCAACATGTCTGCTCTTAGGTTGGCATTGTGTAGTGAGTGGGTATGGGTTTACGCCGCATATTAAAGTATTCCAGCTATATAGAGGACGTCAAAAATGGGCTTCACACTTTCCACCCATGTGGAGAATCCAACCCGGGTCTTCCGCGTGATGAGCAAAACCACAGCAATGTGTAAACACATCTTTTACCAGAGTTTCATCACACAGCTTCAAAGTGTTTGTAAGACCAAAGGCTCCCTGGCGCTTACCAATTTGGTGAAACCCCAAACCACAGCTGTAGTGCTGGCAAACCAAGGAATTAATTTACCTGAGATTCTGCAGATCCTGGAACAGTGAATCCCAGGAACTTTAACAACTGTGCCACTTACAACCCTGTCCAACATTCACTTTTAGAGTTGTACATCAAGTGATGATACTAGATCAGGTATTGTCCTCATTGTACTTATTCTGTATTTACAATATTCCCTTAACCAATAAACAGCCACAAATAGTTGTGTGATATCTGAAATGTAATGCAGAACTTCTGGAGAGGAAAAACATTTAGAATTGGCTATTCCTTGATTTCCTAAGCTAAGTTTCAAAGACTCCAGCATCCAGAAGTATTTCTGTGATATCATGAATGTGATGCCAAACTTCTGAAAAGAAGACACTTTTAGAATTGTCGATTCCTTGAGCTCTCTCCAAAACTCAAATCAAAGCCATGAATATCATGCCTGGTTTGAGTTAATCTGTATGTCTGTATAATCGAAAAAGAGTTTCGAAATTCTGATAGAACTTTTTCCATTTTAATCTGCAGTAGTTTGAAAATTGACTTCAAGCAACCATTGATCGTGCTGAAGAATGGTTTGCTGTGTACGTCAGAAGGTGTCTTTGAGTGAGTGAGGGTCTTTTGCAGCTTTACCAATATTCCATCACCATTATGGCGGGGACACCCGAAATGGGCTACACACGTTGTGGCCCATGTAGGGAATAGAACCTGGGGCTCCGACATGAGTAAACACTTTAACCATAAGGCTACCGCTCGCTCTGACCAATCTTTGAAGTCATATTGTCCTTGTCATATCACATTCTTGCTAAGTTTCCAGCTGTGTCCTTGTATACTCTCCAGTGTCAGTCCACAACCTTGACTGACTGAATATGTGGTGAGAGCACGACCGGTGACCCTTGACCTGCTAACCGCTTGTAGATCTGACCTCCTTGCTGTGATGGAAACTTGCTGGCTGCTGCCTTTCCTATTGTTTGCTGAAAGAACAAATTTCTCTAATATCAAAATCAGAAATGTCCCCAGCAATCTATGCCGGCCATAAGTGGGTACCAAGTAGGCGAGGTCAGACTTGGTCACTTATTGATTGTGTGTCCTCTCACACCATTGGTGTGGATCATTGGATCATTAATCACTGGATTGTCTGGTTCAGGATACTTCTGGGCAAATGTCATATTCCTGTAATGTTACTAAAAGGAAGAGATGAGGTGAGGTGAGGTGAATTTGGGTTTTACGTCGTGCTTGGGAATATTTCGCTCATATGACGACGTACATGCGTGTGTATGTGTATATGCGGCTGCTTGTACTAGCCCAGACGTAAGCTGGTTTTATGGTGCTAGCCCACTGAGATACCATGCCACAGTGAAGCATGAATACCCCACTCAGACACATTATACTGACTCCGAGCCGACCAGTCCTTGTTGTACCCATTAATGCCGAGAGCCAGGCAGGGACCAACAAGTACGATATTTTAACGTCTTTTGGTATGACGCGGCCGGGGATCGAACCCGCGACCTTCCGCTTTCCGGGCGGACGCTCTAACCACTACACCACGGAGGCGGTCCACTAAGAGGAAGAACTGAATGTGGTTGAAGTCTAAGACATACAATCTGATTTGTATTTCAGCAAACGGTTACAGTTTATTACATCACCATGCAGACTGTCTCCAAGAATCAATAAACCCATGAAGATACGGGTTAAAATTGTCTTCAGTAACCCATGCTTGTCATGAGCATTAACTGACAGGATTGACTGGTCAGGCTCACTGACTTGGTTGACACATGTCATCGTATCCCAATTGCATAGGTCAATGCTCATCATGTTGATCACTGGATTGTCTGATCCAGACTGGATTATTTACAGACCACCACCATATAGCTGGAATATTGCTAAGTGCAGCGCTAGACAAACAAACCAAGAATCACTCTGTGACTATTTTCTTCACATTACCAGGCTAAATGTAAAGAAACAGGTCCCAAGTTTCATTTTTAAATTGTTCCACATTTCTGTTTTTTTGAGGGATGCTGATTAAATTTTAATCTGGTACCTTGGTGACAGGCTGATGCCTCTCCACAATGACAGATGCCATGGGTGGGGCGAGAGTGGAACTTGCCGTCACCGGACCACGAGAGGACTTCCCCGAGTCGACTTTGGCAGTGACCTTAGCAGTGATGACCTTGCCACGATGTGAAGACGATGTGGCACTGGTGGGACGAGATGACACCTACAACAAACAATAGAAATAGTTGTTAGTTTCATTTTCAGGAAGATTCTGTACGAAGAGCATGGAGAGTGGACAATGTTCGATGTCTGAGTGCCGTTGTACAAAACAACCTTAGAGCTAAGACTGGCATAAGCCTTTGTTTAGGAATGGGAGCTACGATCACCTTAGCGCTAAGACTGGCATAAGCCTTTGTTTAGGAATGGGAGTTACGATCACCTTAGAGCTAAGACTGGCATAAGCCTTTGTTAAGGTATGGGAGTTATGATCACCTTAGCGCTAAGACTGACGTAAGCCTATGTTAAGGTATGGGAGTTATGATCACCTTAGAGCTAAGACTGGCGTAAGCCTATGTTAAAGTATGTGAGTTACGATCACCTTATCGCTAAGACTGACGTAAGTCTATGTTAAAGTATGGGAGTTACGATCACCTTATTGCTAAGACTGACGTAAGCCTATGTTAAAGCATGGGAGTTACGATCACCTTAGAGCTAAGACTGACGTAAGCCTATGTTAAAGTATGGGAGTTACGATCACCTTAGCGCTAAGACTGACGTAAGCCTATGTAAAAGTATAGGAGATATGATCACCTTAGTGCTAAGACTGACGTAAGCCTATGTTAAAGTATGGGAGTTACGATCACCTTAGAGCTAAGACTTGCATAAGCCTTTGTTGGGGAATGGGAGATATGGTATCCTTAGCGCTAAGACTGGCCTAAGCCTTTGTTAAGGCGTGGGAGTTATGGTGACCTTACCATGAAGATGGAGAACATGTTGATGTGTGCCGTTCAAGATTTCATCAATGATCTAAACATTGAGTCACTGACAAAAAGATGATTCCTAATTTCAGATATTTTCATCTTTGATTTACAATATTATAACATTACAGAGACCCACTCACACTTGATCTAGTCTGTGACACAGTGGAGGTACGTGACCCCTGACTGGTGACTATACGAGGTGGGACAGGGTCAGAAGGTTGGGTCATGTACACAGCCTCCTGTGGTATTGTCTTGGAGTGACCGTAATCTTTGTCAAGGGCATAACTGTCCAGATTGTCTGCAATATCATCAGGGGAGACGCGCTTCCCAGAAGACACTAAAAACAGAGAATTGAGAGAATTCATTGAGTGAGTCAGTTGAGTTTAGTGGTGTGTGTGGTGTGTGATGTTGAGTGTGAGTGTGTTGTTTGATGTTTGCGTGTTGTGACGTGTGTCAGTGGTGTGTTGTTTGTGTGTTCTATGTGTACACTCACATCGTGTGTGCAGTGTGTTTGTGTCTGTTGTGCTATGTGTGTGTTATGTGTGTCTTGTCCGTATTAGTTTGTCTTGTATATGCATGTGTGTGCATGTGCATGCATTCATGAGACAGAGATGTACCTTGCTGTGTATGGTATGTTTTTTGTATGTTGTATGTGTGTGCATGCACACTGGCATGTAATGTGTGTGTCATGTGCTGCCATTTGTCTTTGTGTGTGCCTGCATGTGTGGCGTGGCCTGGTGTGTATGTGCATGCATTGTGTGACTGCATGTGTGGCATGGCATGGCATCGTGTGGCGTGGTGTGTATGTGCATGCGTCGTGTGCCTACATGTGTGGCGTGGCATGGCGTGGTGTGTATGTGCATGTGTTGTGTGCCTGCATGTGTGGCGTGGCATGGCGTGGCGTGGCGTGGCATGGCGTGTATGTGCATGCGTCATGTGCCTGCATGTGTGGCGTGGCGTGTATGTGCATGCATCGTGTGCTTGCATGTGTGGCGTGGCGTGGCGTGTATGTGCATGTGTTGTGTGCCTGCATGTGTGGCGTGGCGTGTATGTGTTGTGTGCCTGCATGTGTGGCGTGGCGTCGTGTGCCTGCATGTGAGGAGTGGCGTGGCGTAGCGTGTATGTGCATGTAGTGTGTGCCTGCATGTGTGGCGTGGCCTGGTGTGTATGTGCATGCGTCATGTGCCTGCATGTGTGGCGTGGCGTGTATGTGCATGCATCGTGTGCTTGCATGTGTGGCGTGGCGTGGCGTGTATGTGCATGTGTTGTGTGCCTGCATGTGTGGCGTGGCGTGTATGTGTTGTGTGCCTGCATGTGTGGCGTGGCGTCGTGTGCCTGCATGTGAGGAGTGGCGTGGCGTAGCGTGTATGTGCATGTAGTGTGTGCCTGAGGTGCACCTTGTCCCTCCTCGCCCTCGTCCTCCCCGTGGAACATGGTCATGGCCTCCAGGTTGAGGGCACAGACTCCTCTCATGAAGGCCTTCTTCATGGCCTCCTCATACTTCTCCCGCTCCACGTTCATCCGCCCGATCTTCACATGCGCAGACTCCAGCTCCTCGTTCAGCTGCAAGATATCATCTCTCCTGATTACTCAATAGAGTCAATACTGTGTCCAGACATATCCAAATCATAAATTGTGACGATTCGCAATAATAATTTCACTTTATTTGATATACCTTTTTGTTTAAAGTGAAATTCATTGGTACGTTTTCACTGCAAACTATAATGGACGGTGGCAAGCACTGGTGTTCAACATAGTCAAGATATGCAGTATGGGTGGTAAGGCTTGACATGAAACCTAGGAGTATATTGAAATACAAGTGACCACTGTTTATTGCTGTGCTCCAGATTGAACATGACTAGGGCTGCAACGATTCGGTTCGATTCATCGAAAATCGAATCTGACACCTTAGTTTCAATTTTAGATAACCATTATCACTATTTCGATTTGATACTTGAATACCATTTTAAATTATTTCCACACAGCCAGGACATAATTTTGACTCCAGCTCGAGCAGTTTCGAGTGTTGAAATAAGACGAAACGTGATTGGTTGACGCCGGGCAAATTATAAAATGGCAATTGTTGTTAGTAGACATTGCCAAGTTGACAATGGATTTCACGATACAAAAGCTGACTCTGAGAGTTAAATGAAATCTGATGGTTTTACTTGTATGAAGAATCAAATCAAAAATGATCGAATAAAGGGTCCAATATGGAAAATCAAATCGAAGTCTGGGTGAACTGTTGCAGCCATAAACATGACATCCTTGATCACCAACCTGTCTGATTTTGGCTCCGTATTCATTAGTGAGCTGCAAGCACACGTCCTGTGCCTTGGACTGACACGCCTTCTCCACCCGCTGCCGCCACTTGTTCTCGATGACAGAGTGCCAGGCGACCCACACTCTAGAGGACAAGCTTCTCTCGTAGTGCTTCCTGGCCAGATTGCTGGCAAACGCCTGAAACAGGAGGGAGTCAGTTGGGATTAAACCTTACATGTCTTACCTTGTTTGTTTGTTTGTTTGTTGTTTAACGCCACACTCAGCAATATTCCAGCTGTATAGTGGCAGTCTGTATATAATGGAATCTGGTCCAGACAATCCAGTGACTGACATTATAAGTACCAATGAACATAATTTGGACATGTCATGTCAAGTGAGGTAAGGTGAGGTGAAATTGGGTTTAACGTCGTGCTTGAGAATATTTCGCTCATATGACACATTGACAACGTGCATGCGTGTGTATGTGTAGGTGCGGCTGCTTGTACTAGCCCAGACTGAAGCTGGTTTTATAGTGCTAGCCCACTGAGATACCATGCCGCAGTGAAGCATGAATACCCCACTCAGACACATTATACTTACTCCGAGCCGACCAGTCCTTGTTGTACCCATTAATGCCGAGCGCCAGGCAGGGAGCAACAAGTACCATATTTTAATGTCTTTTGGTATGACGCCGTCGGGGATCGAACCCGCGACCTTCCGCTCTCCGGGCGGACACTGTAACCACTACACCACGGAGGCGGTCTGTCATGTCAAGTAAGTCATCGGGTGGTCATAGGGTGAATGCGGCGTAAAACTAAACTCACTCACTCACTCACTCACAGTTAAGTACAGATTCATCCGGAATTCAAACCCACTCCCTCAGAGTCAGGCACCTAATCGCCAGCACGCAAAGTCTGAGCAGGTTAGGTGCCTGACTCTGAGGGCGTGGGTTCGAATCCCAGATAGGACTCAACCCAACAAAAAGTGCAAGAATCTGTACTTTACTAAGAAAGTGTAATCCCAAATATAACATATGTTAGTATTCTTTATATTTTGAGAAGTTTGATCATGATTCTGTACTCAGAGTATAACTGATTTAACAACACAACTGGCCCGGATTGCTCACCTCCCGTTTCAGGTCATTGTGTCGGAGTTTCCACTCGGTGAACTTCTTCAGCATGTCAAACTTCTCTCTCTGTTTGTGCAGGGCGTGGGTGAGGTTGGAGATCACCTGGTCTTTCCGCTCGATGGATTGTTCGTATGTGTGGAGCAGCTCTTTCAACTTGTCAATCTCATTCACCATCTGGTTCTTGTCCGACACAAACCTAAAAAGAGGACAACATAAGACAGGGCTATAAATATAGATCATAGAGATTTAGGGTTGGTTGGGTTGGTTTGTCGTTTAATGTTGCACGGTCTGTAAATAATCAGGTCTGGACCAGACAATCCAATGATCAACATTATGAGCCTCAATCTACATAAATGAGATACGATGACATGTGTCAACCAAGTCAACGAACGTCTTGCGACAAGCATGGGTTGATGAAGACCAATTCTAACCTGGGTCTTCATGGTCTTTTAGGGAGATTGAGTAGTTTTTTTATGGCACTTTTAGCAATATTCCAACATTCCATGGCAAGGGGCACCAGAAATGGGCTTCACACATTGTAACCATATGGGGAATCAAACCCAGGTTGAACGCTTAACCCATTCAACACCGCAGGCCGAATAATCAGCCACAACGTTATGAGTCCCAAGACACCGGAGGCCGATTAATCGGCCAGGCAGTAGTCACGTCAAAATGAGACATAATTTTAGAAGCCTACCTGACTTATGATTCATATATTAAATGTCATAATGTTTGAAAACACTTATTAAATTTCAATTGATTATATATTATCAGCAGAATTATAATTATAAACTATTTCTCGCAATGTTATTGAAAACAACGATTCTCGGACACATGCTTCGGCAGTGGGTCCACAATAACATTGTCAAAGAGCAAAGTAACGATGTTTCGAGGAAATCATTGAATAAATTGAATAAACTAATGAATGAAATGAACAATAGTATTCATAAAAGTTGTCGAACGTACATATAAAATTACTATTTCCATCTTTTTGTGCGATCATGTAATGCAAGTCAAGTCACTGACGAGTGACATCTCGGCTTTCGCCACCTCAGTCTTCACGCTCGGACACGATGTTTAATGCGAAAATATATGCATGAAGCATTTTTGTCACAGGTCATAACCTAGCACGATACGTCCAATAAGTCCCATAATTTACGTATAGGTAGCAATTTCTTGCTTAATATGTTCTGAGTAGCATTATTTTACCCAAAACTTTCGTCTAAATCTAAAAGTTTTCGTTTACGAGGATGGTATCCATTGCCGTAATATAATTTATCCAATAAAATCGCTTCTAACAACTGTGAAAATACTCTCGGCAAGGGTACAGTGATATTGTTGATGTTCACAGCTTTCGAACAATACCCGCCGTCAAACGATTCGCCTTGCATGTCATTCATACGAAGCTTTGAAAACGGAGGTATTTTTTGTTGTTGTGCCATGTTACCGAGCGGAAAGCCACTGATATCGGGAAATAGGCGACCATACATATTATTTAAGAAATCTTTTTATAATAATTTTCTGATTACGCAAAAATGAAAATAAAAAAGACAAGTGTTTGCCACTGATATGACAATGCCCCCGCCGCTAAAGAATGGAATATCTATATTTACTACTTTTTAATTTTTGGTCACATAAAAGATGCCTGAAATGACTGGTATCTGCATAATCACCCAATGTAGGCTGTCAACATAATTGCAAACATTGGGTGCAATTTTTTATGAGATATCACGTTTAAATAAGTTTGAAAAGTGGTCAAAGTGTCATGGTGACTTTAAAGGTAAGGTCAAGGTCACCCAAATAAAGCAGTGTCTGCGTAATCCCCCAATGTAGGCTGTCACCAAATTTGAAGACATTGGGTAAAACAGTTCATGAGATGTCGCATTAACAAGAGTTTGAAAAGTGTTCTAAGTGTCATGGTGACTTTGAAGATAAGGTCAAGGTCACACAAATAGACTGGTGTCTGTGTAATCCCCCAATGTAAGCTGTCACCAAATTTGAAGACATTGGGTAAAACAGTTGATGAGATATCGCGTTAACAAGAGTTTGAAAAGTGGTCAAAGTGTTGTCGTGACCTTGTAAATAAGGTCAAGGTCACCCAAATCAACTGGTGTCTGCGTAACCCCAATGTAGGCTGTCACCAAATTTGAAGACATTGGGTACAACAGTTCGTGAGATATCGCGTACGTACAGACGCCGCTGAATACATAGTCCTCCGTTCCGCGTTGTGGCGGGGGACAAAAAAGTCATATGACATGTCACAAATTAAAAAAAAATCGCCATAGTTTTTGCTTCATTCGTGGTTTATCTGGACATCATAAATGTAAGCTTGCATTTTCATAAAAAAAATATTTTTATTTAAGTTGTAGTTGTATTATTTGGATAATATGATAAAAATAAATTTCACATATATCAACAGTACGATTAGATCTTTTAAATGGTGTATGAGATGTAGTAGCAATAACATTTTACAAACTTTCATTTTCCTTCATAAACATAGGTTTCATCTATTACCTTATAGACTCATTGGGAACTCGGTGTCATGGCAGTAAATGTCCCTGGTTGACTGGTGTTGAAAGAGTTAAACCACCACGCTACCCCACCATCCCAAGGTCTTTTGGCCAGAAGTGTATGCATTGAATTCTTTGTGTTGATGTAAATGAAAAGATCAAATTTGCCAGATTCAACATTTGCATGCTTTGGACTTCTCATTGGACCTGTGTACCATTTTGGTAAACCCAAGGTCAAGGTTATGGTGCAAACAAACCAAGAAAAATAATCAGGTCAAACCTGGGACTTGAACCCATGATTACAAGTTTCTGCCATACCATTGGTTGGTCGGTTTGTTGTTTAACGCCTAACTCAGCAATATTCCAGCTATACAGTGGCGATCTGTAAGTAAGTCTTGACCAGACAATCCAGTGATCAGCATCTTGCGCATCAATGTACGCAAATGGGATACCATGACATGTGTCAACCAAGTCAGCGAGTCTGACCACCAGATCCTGTTAGTTGCTTCTCACTACAAGCATGGATTGTTGAAGACCGATTCTCACTCGGATCTTCAGGGGTTTCTACCATACCAACAGGTGCAAAATCGGCACAGCAAATCATAGTACTTAGATGACTGCCCCATGTTACAAATAAACAACCTCACACTGATCAGAGAGTACTACATAAACGGGCAGTTCCAAATGCAAACAATAAAGGCTCCACTATAACACAAATCCTCCCAATACCTTTCTCTCTCCTTCTGCATTTCCAGTCTGCTCTTTTCAACAATCCGGATCTTGGACTGACCAAATTCTGCCTGCAATTAAAAAATAACGCAATCAGAAATGTTCCTTCTATGGAAGGACCAAAGTGATGAAGATATCAGATGTAAACCACTTTGGTCAAGCACAAGTATGGAGAGCAATAATTTTGGTGAAACAGAATTTGAACGGAATTAGTGCTTCCTGGCATGCCAAAGGGTGGCAACCTTCAGTCTTCATTCAAGCATTTCGTACTTTGAGCCCATGGCCCACCAGCCGTCAGTTATGTGGGTCATTAAGAAATTATTGTGGGTCATGTCAAATTGCTGTGATTTTTAGCCATTCACTACTAGTTAAATGAATGAGTTCACTTCCTTTTTTTAAACTGTAATTCCAGGTGAGGTCAACAAGAGAAACCAAAGACGTACTTGAGTTTGGTTTGAATTGCCAAACGAAAACAAACTCCTGATGCATTTCAGATTTACATTTATGGATGAGCTGACACGACCCGCCTGTACACGCAGAGTGTGCCATGTTAAATATTAGTGCGCGATTGGCGCGGCTAGAATGAACATTGAATCTTGCACAGTGAATTGTGGCATCTCAGGTGACTGGGCTACCTGTACACTATAGTGGTGTTCCGATTAATTTAAATAATCGAAGATTGGTCGCAGTGACCAAACGACAAAGCAATCGATCACATTTTCTCATAATGGAACATAAACGGTTTTGGAACTACGGTTTTAGTCTTTGAAATACTTGACAATGGAACATATCGTTGAAGTTGTCAGGGCCTGAAAACGTGTTTAATTCTTAGAAAACTCACTTCACTAACTGAAAAACCATGACTGAATATTTCTTGAAGACTCCGGGAAGTTTATGTTCATGATATATTAGTCATCACTTTAAAGTAGCAAGTTGCAATCATGTTATACATATCTGCAATAACAACCTGGATAGGAAAATCTGAAAAATGACGCTAACCAATTTTTGTCGATGATTGTTCGTTGGTAATGAAGCAATCATCAATTGTGAGATTTCAACCAATTCCCAACACTAGTACATTAGAGAGTGAGTGAGTCAAATTCTAAAGTGACATCAGCATAATTTCAGCACTATAGCGACAAGACCAAGTTGACACACATACACAAGTCCACTATAAACACAAAGTCACCTCAAAAGCAATTTTATACACATTTTAGCATAACAATATCATTTATAATATATAAAACGGGGTTTAGCAACATAATGTGCAAAAAGCAATTAGTGATACACATAAATATTTACACGAACAGTTACCGCTCAAATTCTTTGAACTAATTTATTGATGGATTGAGTTAAGTTTTACGCCTCACTCAGCAATATTACAGCTACATGGCGGTGGTCTGAAAATAATCGAGTCTGGACCAGACAATCCAGTGATCAACATCATGAGCATCAATCTATGCAATTGGGATACAATGACATGTGTCAACCAAGTCAGCAAGCCTGACCACCCGATCCCGTCAGTCGCCTCTTACTACAAGCATGGGTTACTGAAGATCAATTCTAACCCGGATCTTAATTTATGATGACATGACATCTCACATGGGTAAACAGATCTCACAGGTTTACTGCTTGATAGCATGAGCCTTTCATAACACGGATTACAAACTGGAGGTTCATCCTTGTTGGTTGTAAACAGAGATTTGATTATAAACTGGACTGGCCAATACACACTGGAGGTTCATCCTTGTTGGTTGTAAACAGAGATTTGATTATAAACTGGACTGGCCAATACACACTGGAGGTTCATCCTTGTTGGTTGTAAACAGAGATTTGATTATAAACTGGACTGGCCAATACACACTGGAGGTTCATCCTTGTTGGTTGTAAACAGAGATTTGATTATAAACTGGACTGGCCAATACACACTGGAGGTTCATCCTTGTTGGTTGTAAACAGAGATTTGATTATAAACTGGACTGGCCAATACACACTGGAGGTTCATCCTTGTTGGATGTAAGCAGAGATTTGATTATAAACTGGACTGGCCAATACACACTGGAGGTTCATCCTTGTTGGATGTAAGCAGAGATTTGATTATAAACTGGACTGGCCAATACACACTGGAGGTTCATCCTTGTTGGATGTAAGCAGACATTTGATTATAAACTGGACTGGCCAATACACACTGGAGGTTCATCCTTGTTGGATGTAAGCAGAGATTTGATTATAAACTGGACTGGCCAATACACACTGGAGGTTCATCCTTGTTGGATGTAAGCAGAGATTTGATTATAAACTGGACTGGCCAATACACGCTGGAGGTTCATCCTTGTTGGATGTAAGCAGAGATTTGATTATAAACTGGACTGGCCAATACACACTGGAGGTTCATCCTTGTTGGATGTAAGCAGAGATTTGACTATAAACTGGACTGGCCAATACACACTGGAGGTTCATCCTTGTTGGTTGTAAGCAGAGATTTGATTATAAACTGGACTGGCCAATACACACTGGAGGTTCATCCTTGTTGGATGTAAGCAGAGATTTGATTATAAACTGGACTGGCCAATACACACTGGAGGTTCATCCTTGTTGGTTGTAAGCAGAGATTTGATTATAAACTGGACTGGCCAATACACACTGGAGGTTCATCCTTGTTGGATGTAAGCAGAGATTTGATTATAAACTGGACTGGCAAATACACACTGGAGGTTCATCCTTGTTGGATGTAAGCAGAGATTTGATTATAAACTGGACTGGCCAATACACACTGGAGGTTCATCCTTGTTGGATGTAAGCAGAGATTTGATTATAAACTGGACTGGCCAATACACACTGGAGGTTCATCCTTGTTGGTTGTAAGCAGAGATTTGATTATAAACTGGACTGGCCAATACACACTGGAGGTTCATCCTTGTTGGTTGTAAACAGAGATTTGATTATAAACTGGACTGGCCAATACACACTGGAGGTTCATCCTTGTTGGATGTAAGCAGAGATTTGATTATAAACTGGACTGGCAAATACACACTGGAGGTTCATCCTTGTTGGATGTAAGCAGAGATTTGATTATAAACTGGACTGGCAAATACACACTGGAGGTTCATCCTTGTTGGATGTAAGCAGAGATTTGACTATAAACTGGACTGGCCAATACACACTGGAGGTTCATCCTTGTTGGATGTAAGCAGAGATTTGATTATAAACTGGACTGGCCAATACACACTGGAGGTTCATCCTTGTTGGTTGTAAGCAGAGATTTGATTATAAACTGGACTGGCCAATACACACACTATCGTCACAGATGAGCTCATGTCTTGCTTTACAACCCAAAATGTTGCAGATGCCCAGATAAGCTGCGTATCCGGGTAAAATACGCATAGAAAATTTCCAATTACGCATTGAAAAATAATTGTTGCGTACCAATTACACATTTAAAATGTTAGATACGAAAAAAAGTGTAAAACAAATGTGTATGGAATATATTTATAAAAATCGCTTGCGTAATGAAAAAGACATCGATTGCCATCAAGTTGTACTATTAGTATAAGACAAGTGTTGTACTGTCAGTATAGGATGAGTGATTTTTATGATATCATGTCCATTATATTTAACTAGGTTTTGATTAGGTATGACATAAGGCAGAACATACCTGCTTAGTAAACTTACTCAATGACATATACATGTAGTTAGGTGAGTAAAATGACTGAAATACGCACATATTTGAAAGCAGTGTGTAACGGAAAATGAAATACCCACTCAACATGAATAATACCCACTCCAAAAAAATACAGTGGGTACAGTACCCACATGAGCTAAATCTTATCTGGAGCTCTGTGTTGGTTTAAATTCATGAATATTGATTCCTACCTTGCTATGCCCTCAGTACAGAAATAGTCATAAAAAGTAAAACGCTATCAATGAGAACATTATGCAGAGATGCCAACCCTAATTTAGCCCAGTTAGTATTTGGCCAAAAACTGATGCAAACATTAGTATTTTGGGCCAAAATTAGTGTTAACATTTCCAAAGGGTTTTCATATTAAATAAAAAATATATAGATATTCTAAGAGCTTGTTATTAACAGTGTACTCACCTAAATCAGTATTAAGTATCCACATATAGCTTGATGCTGAATAAACTGTGGTTGAAATTTATTGTGCATGGTACATATGCTATTTGATCATTTAATTTCATGTATTGATTTTAAATTTGTATATTTTCACTGGTATCGTAGTTGCGTATTATGTGTTGTTTTTTTGCAACGAATATGATAAAATCGTGTGGGTTGGCTTCTCTGCATTACGCCAATCTCACTGGATTGGTTACAGCATTAAAAATGTTATCCAGGATTCCATTATGTAAACATATTGCAGGTGAGTTTTCTGTTTTTGTTTTAGCAATATTCCAGCAATATCACGGCGGGGGACACCAGAAATGGGCTTCACACATTGTACCCATGTGGGTACAAATCAAATCTAGGTTTTCATCATGACGAAACGAACGAATGCTTTGACCACTAGACTACCTAACCTCTCCCTTATACTGCAGGTGACTAGGAAACAGTCACTACTAGTACTGGTGTTCCGATTAATTGAAATAATCGAAGATTAGGGGCAGTGACCAAATGGCCAATCAAACGATCAACTTTTCTCAAAATCAAACACGAACGATTTTGTCTCTACTGTTTTAGTGTTTGAAACACTTGACGATGGAATTCTTAGAAACCTCACTTCACTTACTGAAAAGTCATGACTGAATATCTCTTGAAGACTCCAGGAAGTTTATGTTCATGATAATAATAATAATAAGGGTACTTATACTGCGCAATACTCCATACCACAAAAGGGCATGCTCAAAGCGCGCACAAATGTTTAAAAACAAACACATCAAAAAGTCATATGAATCAGTATTGTAGTAAATATGAGCTTGGAGAGAGTTACTGTTTATATCGACTGAAAAGGGGTGTTTTGAGGTTACGCTTGAACCCTTGAAGGGATGGAGCTGTACGTAATTTAAGTGGAAGTGAGTTCCATAGTGTGGTTGCAATATTTTAGTCATCACTTTAAAGTAGCAAGTTGCATCATTTTACATTGGATGTGAAATTTCCAAATGCAATTTGCAGTTTATAAATAAAACAAAGAACAACAACAAACAACAACAGAGAGCCACGTTATACTTATCTGCAATAACAATCTGAATAGGAAAATCTGAAAATGACGCTCACCAATTTTTTTCGATGATTGCTCGCTGGTAATGAACCAATCATCAATTGTGAGATTTGAACCAATTCCCAACACTACTTACTAGAACATTTCTCTTGAGGTCAAGCGTCCACTGATCCAGAACGTTCTCCATCCGTGCAACATCCGGGTCTATGGTGGAGGTATAAACAGTCTCCTCTATCACTCTCTCCTCCTCTCTCTCTATCTCAGGGTCGGGGAAGTAGGTCTGTCTCGGGGCCGAGTACTGACTTGACACACGTGGAGTTGTGTCATCTGCCAACAGGATGAAAGAAAGTGAGTGAGAGTGAGTGAGTGAGTGAGTGAGTGAGTGAGTGAGTGAGTGAGTGAGTGAGTGAGTGAGTGAGTGAGTGAGTGAGTGAGTGAGAGTGGTTTTACATAGGGATAGGGGAAGGGAGGATACAACATAGGTCGAGATTCAAAGTTGAAGCTACAACATAGGGCAGGCTACATAATAGGATGTGGTTTCAATACAGGGGGAGATTTCAACATAGGTGAAGCTACAACATAGGGCAGGATACATAATAGGATGTGGTTTCAATACAGGGGGAGGTTTCAACATAGTTGAAGCTACAACATAGGGCAGGCTACATAATAGGATGTGGTTTCAATACAGGGGGAGGTTTCAACATAGTTGAAGTTACAACATAGGGCAGGCTACATAATAGGTTGTGGTTTCAATACAGGGGGAGGTTTCAACATAGGTGAAGCTACAACATAGGGCAGGCTACATAATAGGATGTGGTTTCAATACAGGGGGAGGTTTCAACATAGGTGAAGTTACAACATAGGGCAGGCTATATAATAGGATGTGGTTTCAATACAGGGGGAGGTTTCAACATAGTTGAAGTTACAACATAGGGCAGGCTACATAATAGGATGTGGTTTCAACAGGGGGAGGTTTCAACATAGGTGAAGTTACAACATAGGGCAGGCTATATAATAGGATGTGGTTTCAATACAGGGGGAGGTTTCGACATAGTTGAAGCTACAACATAGGGCAGGCTACATAATGAGATGTGGTTTCAATACAGGGGGAGGTTTCAACATAGGTGAAGCTACAACATAGGGCAGGCTACATAATATGATGTGGTTTCAATACAAGGGGAGGTTTCAACATAGGTGAAGCTACAACATAGGGCAGGCTATATAATAGGATGTGGTTTCAATACAGGGGGAGGTTTCAACATAGGTGAAGCTACAACATAGGGCAGGCTACATAATAGGATGTGGTTTCAATACAGGGGGAGGTTTCAACATAGTTGAAGCTACAACATAGGTTAAGGTTACAACATTGGTAAAGGTTACAGCATTGACATCATAGAGTGAGGTTATAGGCCTAAGAAAGTGAGTGAGTTTGGTTTTACGCCACTTTCAGCAATATTTCAGCAATATCAAAACAGGAGACACCAGAAATGGGCTTCAAACATTGTGTCCATGTGGGGATTGAACCTGGGTCCGAGGCATGACAAGCGAACGCTTTAACCACTCAGCTACCCCAACGCCTCATCAAAGAGAAGTTGTTGTATCCATGACATTCAAGCGATGTTAAATTACAATGAAGTTCAAAGTATCAAATCATTCATTAATAATACGTCTCATTGGCAATAAATTATTTATCCCATAAGTTAAACATGACATATGCAATTATTTACATATCATATTTGTACTAAACATTTCAACTTGTGATGTATGACTGAAAAATACTGGAAAAATTACAATGAGGATATTCCAGATATACAAAGAAATGATAGCATATCAAGGACAGACAAGTGTTGTCAGAAGATGACAAATCCCCCTGGCCCACACAAACTTGAAAGAACAAATCATTTGACAGTTACTTAAAGTACAACTTGTTTTTTTCAGAAATCTTCCAAATCGTTTCCATGGAAAGAATGATAAATATAAATTCAAAAAAACGTCAAATAGCAAAAGGCACCACTTTAGGATCTGCCTCATATACTTGCCAAGTTTTATTGATAGATATATAGCGATTTTTGAGTTATGCTCTGGAAACGAAATCCACCCCTTTTTGAGACGAAGTCCAAATTGTTTCCATGGAAATCCAGATAAAATAGAAATGCCAAAATCTGTGAAATAGCAAAACATACCACTTTAGGTTTTGTTTGATATATATATACCAATTCTTGTTGAAAAATATTCAACAGTTTTTTAGTTATGCTTCAGAAACAAAATGATTACGGACGTACAGACAGACAGACAGACGAGGCGTTGACTTTATATGCCGGGGGAATAAAAACGTATTCCAATTTCATGACAGGTTGCAAATTACTAATGAATAAGAATAGCAACAATGCATTCTTTAAAACACAACGTCACATTTTTATTGGACTGAATCACCCTGATTTTGAAAATACCTCTCTTACTTAAATACTCTGAAAACTGAGAAGTGCACGTATTTAATATTTCATTATCACCTACCTGGCTGTTCCAGTTCAAAGTCATCCTCATCACCTTTGTCCCCATCTCTGGAGCCGATGGGACTTGGTCCGAAGTCAGGCATGTTCGATCTGACCTGTGACCCTGGAATGCCCTTGACCCTTTCTTCTGGATGACCTTTGTCAATGTCAACATTGGCTGAAACACGGCAAAGATAAACTCCAACGTGAAAACAGTACTACTTTTATGATAAAGCCGAAACACACAAAAGAAATTGTCAAAAATTATGTCTACCAACGAAAACTTGTTGAGGTGAGGTGAAATGGGGTTTAACGTCGTGCTTGAGAATATTTCGCTCATATGACGACGTGCATGCGTGTGTATGTGTATGTGCGGCTGCTTGTACTAGCCCAGACTTAAGCTGGTTTTATAGTGCTAGCCCACTGAGATACCATGCCGCAGTGAAGCATGAATACCCCACTCAGACAAATTAAACTGACTCCGAGCCGACCAGTCCTGGTTGTACCCATTAATGCCGAGCGCCAGGCAGGGACCAACAAGTACCATATTTTAACGTCTTTTGGTAAGACGCGGTCGGGGATCGAACCCGCGACCTTCCGCTCTCCAGGCGGACGCTCTAACCACTACACCACGGAGGCGGTCGTCTACCACCAAAAACTTGTTGACGTTTTGGTTGTATTGACTCCCGAATTTCTAGCTTTAATAGACATACAACTGGTGACCCATACAACACATGATGACCCGTGAAGATCTGGGTTAGAATTGCTCTTCAGCAACCCATGCTTGTCATAAGAAGCGACTAACGGGATCGGGTGGTCAGGATCGCTGACTTTGTTCACACATGTCATCGTATGACAATTGCATTGATCGATGCTCATGCTGTTGATCACTGGATTGTCTGGTCCAGACCGATTATTTACAGACCGCTGCCAGATAGCTGGATTACTGCTGACTGCTGCGGAAAACTAAACTCACTCAATCATTACACACATGAAACATAATAATTGTTTTGTATGGGTTGCCTGTTCAGATAAAGCATTCACATCTTTTCACAGTATTCATTTACTGAGTATTCACAGGGTTTTTTCATAATTTATAATACCCACATAGTTACATGGCTCCTAATTTGCAACACCTATGTTCATTGGTCATTTGGAATTGCCAAAACACAACAAGACTAAGTATCATTGGCTGAAAGCTATTTGAATATTCCAGGTGTATATAGAGAGAGGAAATTCACCTGAGACAAAATTCAGCTTGATTATACAGTTGGATGCATTTGCGCCTCCAACCAATAAATATGATGAATTTGTTAGAACTTGGAGGCCTAAGGGTTGATTCTGCATTATATAAATAATGCAACATGTCATGATTTTTATCTTCTGTTGACAGCCTTCAGTCACACCCTACAGTCACACCCTACAGCCACAACCTACAGTCAAATCCTAGTGCCACATCCCATCATACAGTGACATCCTACAGTCCCATTGTACAAGCCACACCGTGCAGTCATGCTCCACAGCCATGATAACCCACTACAGCAGATCCCACTACCACACCTATAGTCACACAACTGTCACACCCTACAGTCACACAACAGTCACACCCTACAGTCACACCCTACAGTCACACCCTAGTCACACCATACAGACACACACAACAGCAGATCGAACTGTCACACCTAGTCACACCCTACAGCAGATCCCACTGTCACACCTAGTCACATCCTACAGTCACACAACAGTCACACCCTACAGTCACACACAACAGCAGATCCAACTGTCACACCTAGTCACACCCTACAGCAGATCCCACTGTCACACCTACAGTCACATCCTACAGTCACACAACAGTCACACCCTACAGTCACACACAACAGTCACACCCTACAGTCACAGTCACACCCTACACCCACACACAACAGTCACACCCTACAGCAGATCCCACTGTCACATCCTAGTCACACCCTAGTCACACACAGCAGTCACACACAACAGTCAGACCCTACAGCCACCCCCTACAGTCACACACAACAGTCACACCCTACAGCAGATCCCACTGTCACACCTACAGTCACACACTACAGTTCCCACTGTCACGTCTAGTCACACAACAGTCACACCCGACAGTCACACAAGTCACACCACAGTCACACAAGTCACACCCTACAGTCACAGTCACACCCTACAGACACACCCTACAGCAGATCCCACTGTCACACCGACAGTCACACAAGTCACACCATACAGTCACAACGTACAGCAGATCCCACTGTCACACCCTACAGACACACCCAAGTCACATAACTGTCACACCATACAGTCACACACAAGTCATACCCTACAGCAGATCCCACTGTCACACCTACAGTCACACAACAGTCACACCCTACAGTCACACACAAGTCACATAACTGTCACACCCTACAGTCACACCCTACAGTCACAGTCACACCCTACAGCAGATCCCACTGCCACACCTACAGTCACACACTACAGATCCCACTGTCACGTCTAGTCACACAACAGTCACACCCTACAGTCACACAAGTCACACCCTACAGTCACACAAGTCACACCCTACAGTCACAGTCACACCCTACAGCAGATCCCACTGTCACACCTACAGTCACACACTACAGATTCCACTGTCACACCATACATTTACACAACAGTCACACCCTAGTCACACAAGTCACACCCTACAGTCACACACAACAGTCACACCCTACAGCATATCCCACAGTCACACCCTACAGCAGATCCCACTGTCACACCTACAGTCACACAAGTCAAACCCTACAGTCACACAAGTCACACCCTACAGTCACACAACAGTCACACCCTAGTCACACAACAGTCACACAGTCACACAGTCACACCCTAGTCACACAACAGTCACACCCTACAGTCAAAGCCTACAGCAGATCCCACTGTCACACCTACAGTCACACACAACAGTCACACCTAGTCACACCCTACAGCAGATCCCACTGTCACACCTAGTCACGCACAAGTCACACACTACAGTCACACACAACAGTCACACTCTACAGTCACACAACAGTCACACCCTACAGTCACAGCCTACAGCAGATCCGAATGTCACACCTAGTCACACACAACAGTCAAAGCAGTCACACACCTACAGTCACACAACAGTCACACCCATAGCCACCCCCTACAGTCACACACTAGAGTCACATCATACAGTCACATCCTACACTCGTACTCACCATGTCCAGAGCTCCTGGTTGGGAGGGAGCTGGTTGTGATGCCCAGTCCAGTGGGAGGTTGCGGGAAGGATGAGTGGGCATCTGTGATGGTCAGTCTGGTTTTCTTGGGGTCGTAGTTGGGCAAGATTACTGCATACTTCAGCAGCTCATCGTACTCCTCCTGAAGACAGATACAAGGTCAGTGAGCTGGGTTATACTGACTGCCGGGACTTGTTTGTGATTCAGGGATCAAGTTCACTTTTTCACCAACGTGTTGCATGCAAGTAAATATATAAAATCACTAGCCAGAATGAGTGAGTGTATTTAGTTTTACACCATTCAGCAATATTCCAGCTATATGGTGGTGGTTTATAAATAATCGAGTCTGGTCCAGACAATCCAGTGATCAACAGCATGAGCATTTCAGTGTTCATGAATGGTGTTTCAAGGTAACAGGACATTGGGTCCTGCAAGTTTCAGATGTTTGTCTGACCCATTGAAAATTCACAGGACCCATAGAATGATATTAAACACACATTTCAGGTTGAACATTTCTTATAACTGGCATTGAAATTATTAACAAACATAAGATTTATAAACAGCAAACAGGTGTCACAGGTCACATATAACAGCTTTTCATTGTGAAATATACAGTCAGACTCTTCTAAGTTCTATCAGACCATTGGCGAATCTGCCGGATTTGTCAGAGGGTCAGACGCTATTCGTGAACACTGGCATTGATCTACGTCACAGGTCCTAGCCAAAATGAAATGCAACTAAAGTACTGTCGGAAATAGAAAAAAACTCTTTTTTTCACATTTAGATCCACAATTTATGTAGTTAATATGTGCAATATCTGTTAAGCTAAGTTCGGCCTAAGTACAGTCTCGGTGTTAGGTAGTTAGGAAACGTAAAAAAAGGACTTTACTGAGGAGGGATTTGTGCAGAAATTAGCAATGTGGTTTTATTCTAAGTCCAAGTCGACTTATTTGGAACAGACCTTGGCTTTATGCTAATTAGTGTGCGTGATATTGTATTACAAAGGACACTTTTTAAATACCCATTTAGAAATTAGACTTGGTTTCATTAGAAACGATAGCTGACATACAAAATAATATTTTTACTTGTGAAACTCTTAAGGATGTAGCTACCATGGAGTCTCACTGCCACTATAAAAACAGAGAGACATGGGGGGTCGTCTCAACAGCAAAACCAAGTTGGGTGTCGCAGACGATGGTTGGGGTTGGCTGGGATATAGAAATATCAGCTAAGATAAGATAATCCTTTAGCGGAATTAAACTGGGGAAGTAATAAATTTATATCCATAATATCCAGTCCTGTCGATCTTCGGGTGACCATGCTACCTATTTATTTTGAGACATTTAATACGATGGCTTATTTAAGCCTTTCCATGGGTATCATAACTGTTTTACATATCTCAACATAAACTTTATGAAAAAAACACACGTTCGATGTTAATCAATATTTGAGACATATTCAACTCACAAGAAAACGCATGGAATATCTTTGAGATGACCCCTTGTATCTGTAGGCAGCACGTGCATTTTAATTTAATGCTCGGTGTATCGATGGTCCATCATCATACCTGGCTGAGCGATCTAATTGTCATCTATAGTCTGATCTATTGTTTTAAGCAGCTATTGGTATTTTTTCTAAGTTTTGCCTGATTTTACAAGTAAACATGCTTTTCTGGATATCCTATTACACATCCCACTGAACGCCCAGTTAGGCCGATGTGGGTTATTTCAACATATGCTTTTTGCAATTGTGTAAATTTTAGGGATACATAGTAACAGCCCAAAAACATTTTTCTTCTATTTCCGACAGTATTTTAGCTAATATTGAAACTGTAATAATAATCATGATTAATAAAAGATTCTGTAAATTTGAAACATGTCTGTTATTTTGATAATTTATCATTGCAAAAGAAATTTAATTTGAATACAATGTTAAATGTTTGTAAAATTGCTAGTTTAGATTTTGTGTGCTGCCTAAAACTGAAGTCTGTACACGTTTTATGCCTGTGAGAATCAGACAGACAGACAGACAGTCAGAGACACAGACAGACAGACAGACAGACAGACAGACAGACACAGACAGACAGACAGACGGACACAGACAGACAGACACAGACAGACAGACAGACAGACAGACAGCAGAGGCCCGGATAAGCTGCGTATCCGGGTAAAATACGCACAGAAACTTTCCAAATTACGCATTGAAAAATAATTCTTGCGTACCAATTACGCATTTAAAATGTTACATACGCAAAAAGTTTAAAACAAATGCGTATGGAATATATTTATAAAAATCGCTTGCGTAATGGAAAAGACATCGATTGCTATCAAGTTGTAATGTTAGTATAGGACAAGTGTTATACTGTAGGTATAGGATGAGTGAGTTTTTATGAAATCATTTCCATTATATTTAAGTTGGTTTTGATTAGGTATGACATAAGGCAGAACATACCTGCTTAGTAAACTTACTCAGTCACATAATACTTAGGTGAGTAAAATGACTGAAATACGCACATATTTGAAAGCAGTGGGTAACGGAAAATGAAATACCCACTCAACATTCATAATACCCACTCCAAAATAATACAGTGGGTACAGTACCCACATGAGCTAAATCTCATCTGGAGCTCTGAGACAGATAGACATATTCATTTCACTAGTGAGTAAGTGAGTGATGGTTTTACGCTGCTTTTAGCAATATTCCAGTAGTATCTTGGCGGGGAACACCAGAGAACTTTACACATTGTACCTATGTGGGGAATAGCCAGATCTTCGGCGTGACGAGCGAACGCTTCAACCACTAGGCTACCCCACAGCCCCGATTTATTTCAGTAAAAGGCCATAGGCCCAAAATAGAGTCTTTAAAGAATGTTTAACCTAATCACAGCGTGCTGTAATATTCTCCCACTTAAACTTCTGCAAGGGTGGTGGGGTAGCCTAAAGGTTAAAACGTTTGTTCATCACACCGAAGCAGCATAAAAAACATTCTTACTCGCTCACTAAATGTCTGCCATTAGCAAATCAGCATTCAAAGAAATAGATATACCTACGTTTTGAGGAAAAAATCACAAAAGATGGTTCTTAACAATTTGTCAAATTTTCGGTACAGGTCAGCCATCCTGATGTGCTTATCGTCAGGCATCCTTAAAAGTTAAATAGTACTCACCTGTAGCCTTGACGACACCGAACTGCCTGGAGAGTCAGGGGGTAGATGAGGAATACTGTCTTCACTTTCTGACATCATGTGTGTTGATAAGAGTACTGCAAGTGTAAAGAAACATGAACATTCCGTCCTCTTACAGAATGTAACAGGATCAGTGGTGGAAATAACTTTAAAATTGCTAGTGTACTCTGGTACAGTGGCACATGTAAAATCACTTGCCCTGATAAGTTTTCCACTACACCGGCCGTTTTCTTGATTTTTTAAATAAACAACATAATTAATATTGGAAAGTCAACTGGACACCAGTACAGTGTGATATACAAATTTGCTTGCCCGACAGAAAAAACCACTGGACTCGGGCGTCGGGCAATGGGTTATTTCCAACCCTGAGGATGTTCATATAAATTTTGGCTTTATTTTCTCAATTTTAAAACCAAAATTCTATATTTTAGGCATGTGTAATGCAGTTCGTCCTAATTATCCAGTTCCGTAAGAATATGAATGTGGTCACATTTTCTTCTTCGTCATTCGGAACCACGGAATATAATGGAAATGTTTACATACCCTTGTTCACAACCCATTTAGCTCTGAACCTGTCTGTATGTGGTCTATTTTGATTTATTAGTCTGAAAACACCAATGAGATGCTGCACCTGACTTACTCCCTTAGAGACAGCAGTTAACTCTACCCCTTCTGTCAAAACATGGACTAACCCGGATCTGCAGCAACCCATGCTAGTGGTAAAAGTCGACTAATGTAATCGGGTGGTCAGGCTCGCTTGCTTGGTTGACACATGTCATCATATCCCAATTGTGTAGATAGATGCTCATGCTGTTGATCACTGGATTGTCTGGTCCCGACTTGTCTATTTACAGACCACCGCCATATAGCTGGAAATCTGCTGAGTGCGGTGTTCAACAAAAAAAACGACTTTGGGAATCATGGCCATGTATTGCCATTGATATGTGACCTGGAGATTTCAGACAGTTAACTTGGAGCAGCAAATCCCCATGATAACAGTACATTATCAGTTACCATTCCTCAGAAATTACGAAATGCAAAGAACACGGATCAAACAGAGCAATGTTGATTTGATTCGTACAGGCTAACAATGTGTTTATATACCAAGGGATTTATCTAGATATTTGATATTTGGCCCAAGACTGCAGCAACTGTTCATGATTAATCCCAAATTGAAATAAAAATTTCCAGATTTATGTCATATACTAGTAAAGTAACTTTGTTGTAACTAACTATGGCTTTCTGTTATTTCACTGAGCAAAATCAGCAACATTATTATGTTTTTCTCAAACTAGAGGGACTGTATGGAATTACTGGTATATCAGTATATCTCACTTCGCCTTTCAAATGATCGTAACATACTGTAAAGTTTTATTCTCAGAACCGGTATATTGAGTAACAATGATTATATATAGTTCTGGGATTATTTTTATGGTTTGAACTAAAATCTAAAAATACTATCCCTCAAAATCAAATCTAAATTTGAGATTTATGTTATCATAACCAAAATATTATTGGTAAGGCTTTAGTATGTATAGAATAAACTCTGCATATACAATCAATGTCACTCACTGTCAAACAGAGCTCCCAGTGTATCACAAAACGCATCAAAATACAGATACCAGAATCGGAATATATTGCAATACAGTTTATTTGCCAATATACAGCCCTACAAATTACCTGGCTGGGGCACTTAGCCATACATCCATAGTATAGATTTGTTATGTTTTGCATCCGTTGCCTACATACATGTCTCGTAACATATCAAGATGTCCACTGAATCATAATCAGGTGATCAGCTGATGATTATGTCCAAACATGTGTTGGGTCATGGGAAATCTAAAGTGTTTTACCATGTTTACTGACTGAGTTTGGTTTTACGCCGCTTTTAGCAATATTCCAGCAACATCACGGCGGTTTACCATGTTTACAGACAGGTTGGATGTGAATGTTTGATCGATATATCGACTAGTTAAGATGAATAGGACACATAAGCATGATAAGTAGATACAGACATCATTTTGAACAAGACAATGAAGACTGATTTCGATTCCATAATTGTCAGACAGGATTTGTACTAGTGATAAATATGGGATAAATCAACAAACAATACTTTGTAACACAAAAAAAACGGCTGCTGTTCGGTGACACTTTGTTTCTGTTTTGCATTCAGATTTTGGCAGATTTTGTTTTTCAACACTGACACCTTATTCCCAATCAATTGATACCGGTCTAATCGTGGGTACAGCCAACAGGTCAATTCGGACTGACACAATAACAAACATTACAAAACGTTTCTAACTGTAAAATACATCACTATGATTACAGGAACAATAAACGTTCTCCTTACAGTTCAAATATGCCATCCTCTCCAAAACTGTATCCCAGATAAAGTTTCATAAATATTGTAGACATTTATCGAATCTTGCATTCATGTTCTAACACGTTTTATTTTTACCGCACTGTCAATCGGTTTCATGGAGATTAATGGGATCAAAGGTTTAACTCGGCGGGAATTTTGACACACTGCTCCGTACGATAACTATATGACGCTACTCACCGCGTGACAAGTGACAATTGTGTGTTGGTCAGGGAAATATCCACAAATCTGACACAGGAAAAAATCTCAAACAATCGCCATCTTGTAAACAATGTTTGAAACTGGTCCTACTATAAGACGAACAATATGATTGGTTCACAATAGATATAAACTGACCTTCTATTGGCCCAAAGCCACATTCCCACGAGCTCCTTACAGATGCAAATGTCTTTATTTTCCCAGTAATGTATAGAGCTTCCAACTAGACTGGGTGTTTGCTAAAAACAAAAACGCTCATTGAACGATACATGTTTGTCAGTCTTAATCATCGTGCTTCTAAAGGCGTTATATCAATGAGTGAATGTTGCTGTAGTCTGGATCAACTGTTAATTTTGAAGCTATTCGCTTTCATTAGATGTTTACAAATAACCTCTAACATTCAACGTATGTAATAGATCGACTTAATCTAATCTGTCTCAGTCCCTGAACCGTATTATTTTCCCTACTGCCTAGCCCTCCCTGTAATGCTAAAGCCCTAAATGAAGCAAGTCTAGATTTACTCCTGTTCTGAATTTCCCATCTGACTGGGGCTCCTTTTCAATTTAAATGGGTTTATTTGTTAGCATCAAAATTATATACATTCTGAGACTAAGCGTTAGTCTTAGTACTAGACTCTACTTACATGTGCATCTCATTTAAATTGTGATACATCCATTCACATTCACTTTAGGCAAATATGAAGAAAAGAAAGTTATTAAAAAGTAAAACAGATTTTACTTATATTTTTCAGTTTTTCAAAACATAATTATCTGCAGTCGTCCGTATAAAAATGATATTACATAAATTTAAATTAAACACAAAAATGGCAATAATATGATAATCTAGTTAACACCTTCCACTGAACCCCACTGACCCGAATTTTGTAGATGAATAAATTACATGTCCTCTCGTCCTTTTTCTTAATCTTAATTATCTACTCTGTCGGGTCAGATTATCGTGTTTTGTTGGCTTCCCAGTCACTCTGGTTTCATCATCGTCATCACAATCTTTATTGCGTATTAAGGCCACAGACTCATACACGTCCACCCGCTCTGACTGGGTTCGGTATCCTGGCTGCTTCGTTTCGAAGGACGTAAACCCAAGTACAAAATATTACACTTTTGATTTGCGATTGTACGCTTATAATTTTGTTTATTTCTTTTTCATAATCAGCAATGTATATTATATGTCATGAATAAATGATAATTGTGTTTTAATTATGTTTATTTTTTTGGTTGCATCTAAGCTTTAATATACAAAATCCAAACAGGTATGAAGGCGTGTACGAAGATAGGAAACGATTTCTCAAAACTTCGTAACATTTACCTGTCTACCCGCATAGATTATCTTACACCCCCAGTGAAATATATCAGTAATTTTTAATGTATAGCTGTACTGGAATTGTTAGAATTTTCATACCTATTTTTCTAACTTTTCTCTCATTTCTATGCAAACCGCCTCCGTTGTGTAGTGTTGAGAGCGTCCGCCCGGAGAGCGGAAGGTCGCGGGTTCGATCCCCGACCGCGTCATACCAAAAGACGTTAAAATATGGTACTTGTTAGTCCCTGCCTGGCGCTCGGCATTAATGGGTACAACAAGGACTGGTCTGCTCGGAATCAGTATAATGTGTCTGAGTGGGGTACTCATGCTTCACTGCGGCGTGGTATCTCAGTGAGCTAGCACTATAAAACCAGCTTAAGTCTGGGCTAGTACAAGCAGCCGCACATACACATACACACGCATGCACGTCGTCATATGAGCGAAATATTCTCAAGCGCGACGTTAAAGGCAGGCAGGGACCAACAAGTACCATATTTTAACGTCTTTGCCACCTTGGTTATTCTACGTGACGCGGTCGGGGATCGAACCTTTCTCATTTGATGCGACCATCCGCTCTCCGGGCGGACGCTCTAATTTCTTTTAGTATGACGTGGTCGAACCCGCGACCATCCGCTCTCCGGGCGGACGCTCTAACCACTACACCACGGAGACGGTCTGTAAAATATAGACAAACTTTAAGCATTCCTGCTTGACAACGGTACAAACATCTGTATCGAAACGAAAATAAACACACACTCACACTCACGAAATAAAGAAGTTGTTTCCATAAAGTTTGTTTATATTTCAAGTCTAGATTTCCTCAGCTTCCCATCTCACTAGGGCTTCTTTCCAATTTAATTGGATTTCATTTGTTTCTGTCAAACTTAATTTCATATATTTAGATACTAGAAGAGTCAGTCCACCTATCTGACTGAAGAGCTAACGCTATGACAGATTCTCTAGCTAGAATTTCATTTTAAAATCAGTTTCCATCACAAACGTCCCATTCACTGACAAAACAAGAACCCGTGAAGATCCGGGTTAGAATTGGTCTTCAGTAACCCATGCTTGTCGTAAGAGGCGACTAACGGGATCGGGTGGTCAGGCTGGCTGATTTGGTTGACACACGACATCGTATCCCAACTGTGTAGATTGATGCTCATGTTGTTGATCACTGGACTGCCTGGTACAGACTGGATTATTTACAGACCGCCGCCATATAGCTGGGATATGGCTGAGGGCGGCGTCACCCAACCAACGACTAAACAACCTTTATGCGTGCCTGAACGTAACACAGGACCGTGTGTATTAAGTGGGCCGGTCCGTCAAGATGACGTTGTTGTATAGAGAGGGGCGGCGGTGTAGCTAGCCCACAGGTTAAAGCGTTCGCCCTTTTTCTGGTGTCCCCCGCCGTGATATTGTAAGACTATTGCTATAAGTATCCACCGTTCTTATTGTCCCATTGTATAGGTTGAAAAAATTCTACCAAGGTGGACAGCTGCCCAGTCCCTGTGTCCGTCACGGTCGAGGGAGCAGGGACTGACCACCTGACGTAACGAGATTGTTGACGTGAAACATTAACCGCTCTTTAAAGCATTCGCTCGTCACACCGAAGACCCGGATTCGATTCCCCAAATGCCTACATGGGCGAAGCCCATTTCTGGTGTCCCCCCGCCCTGATGTTACAACCATATATAGCTAGAAGCGGTGTAACACTAAACTCACTCACTGTCGGCGATGTCGTGTGTTACTATTTCATTAAAAGGAGAAGATCCACCTCGGTGCTATGGACCAGTTTGTATCTTTTGCTTGAACGTGTTCATTTTGCACACGACCCGTGAAGATCTGGTTAGATTTGATCTTCAAGTAACCCATGTGCTTGTCGTAAGAGGCGACTAACGGGATCGGGTGATTTTTCTGATTTTGTACATGACATGCAGTAGGGGTCACTTACTTTGTACATAAAATTAGGGGGGGGGGGGAGCATTCACATCGTACATGCTTCACCCCCCTAGCCATTACGCGCGGCGTTAAACATTCACTCACTCACACTCTGTCAGCTCAATATTGTGTTCATAACCACACGGATCATATGTCGCGCTTGATCGCTTAAAGACTGACGTGGTACACACCAGGCCCCATACAGAGAAGACACGGCTCGCTTGCAATACATCTTGTCAGTATGAAGTATTAGCACGCAGTGAAGAGAGTACTGCAGATACCGGCAATCACGAACCAGGTACCGTCTAAAGTAGTAATTGTGAAGCGCAATGTTTGCCGTGGGGATACCAACATAACCAGTCAAAGCACCTGCTGCCGGAAGTAGAAGTCAGTGTACTCAACAAGCAAAATGGGTGGTCTCTTCGATATGGATTTCTTGGACGATGTCCGACGCATGAATAAGAGACAGGTTAGTTTACATCGCAATTTATTACAAATGCAACACAGGACTGAGATACTGGTGTGATCTTGGTGTTAAATGTGCAGCTAGATCGGCTCAATACAAGCCGGCATCTGTCGCTTCACACACGTGTAACGAACGGATTCGTGTAAACATATGGCCAAGTTTAGGTGGAATTTTACAAATATTAAGATTTTGTATCGCTGCTATATAGTTTACAAGTAATATTGAAATGTAATTGGTCAGTCAATGCAACTTAACAATGATTTTGAACTTTACAAATTTTAAATTTTCAGTTTTAGAAACATATGTCACAAATTTCAATGGGGGAAATTGAAATATTTATTAAGATATGTCAGATTTGCATTTAGAAGAAAGAATTCTGATCGTTCCCGTCACTTGTTTTTGCTTGATAAGGTTTGGGTTACGTGACACTCACTCTGATCAAATTCATAGCTTATTCACTTATATTTAGGTTATATATGCCAATGTTATTGTTAAGGGATGCTAGCATCCTCGTGCTTTAACTATAATACAGTGTTCACTAATGGTGTTTCAAAGTAACAGGACATTGGGTCCTGTAAGTTTCAGATGTCTGTCTGACCCATTGAAAATTCAAAGGACCCATAGAATAAAATTAAACACATATTTCAGATTTAACATTTATTATAATTGGCATTGAAATTATTAACAAACAAGATTTATAAACAGGAAACAAGTGTTACATGCCACATATAACAACTTCAGTCAAAGTCACTGTGAAACTTACAGTCAGACACTGGGGCCGGTGGGTTGTAGACTTCTATCAGACCGTTGGCGAATCTGCCGGATTTGTCAGAGGGTCAGACGCTATTCGTGAACACTGTAATAGTTCAGGGCGAAAGTGTGCTTTATTACACTATACATGGTGGTAGAGCGAACTGTATTTCTTAATTAGCATTCACCTGATGAAGGAGTAAAAGTATACTCGGAAGCATTGTGTTCCACTTAGTAAAGAAGATGACATCCACAAATTCTCACCTTTTATGTGAATCACTTCTATATGCTGTTCAAAGACATTCAGAGCTACAGATAACTTTTTGGGTTATTGGGTTATGTACTCGCTTGTGTTCATCTCAATTGGGTATCCTAATTTTCCTTTGAGTAACCAAACAAATTGTACCAACCTCACTCAAACTCATTTAGGTATTTTGTAATTTTCCATTAATTGTAGAAATATGATTAAGTTAAAATGTTGGTTTACATGTTTGTTATTTATATTTGATCTGTAAAATGAGAAACGATACGAAAGACTGGAAGTTGCCAAGTTCATGTGCTGAAATATAACCTCAAAATATACCTCAGTTATTTTATCTTTCCAATGGTATGTAAGCTAAGATTTGACATGTGTACGCGTGTAAGATCAAAATTATTGAGTATTTACAAAAATTCAAGCGTTCTTGTACGCAATAGACTTAATAGGAATTGAGTTTTCACATATATATTTGCGTAATTTACGCAGATACACAGCTAATCTGTACCTCTGGACACTATAAGCTTAGTTTAAAGTAGCATTACTGGGGCGGTTGGGTAGTCTAGTTGTTAAAGCGTTCGCTCGTCCCGTTGAAGACCCGGGTTCAAGTCCCCTAATGGGTGCAATGTGTGAAGCCCATTTCTGGTGTTACCGGCCATGGAATTGCTGGAATATTACTAAAAGCTGCGTAGAAACATACTCACTCACGCTCTGTCTCATGCATCTGTTTTTGTTTCAGCTCTACTACCAGATTCTAAATTTTGGAATGATAGTTTCCTCGGCTCTGATGATCTGGAAAGGTTTGATGGTTGTGACGGGCAGTGAAAGCCCCATTGTTGTCGTTCTCAGGTGAGTGAGTCTGTCTTGTGCATCAGGGTAGTTGCAGTACAAGTGTTGGGAATTGGATAAAATCTCATAATTGATGATTGGTTTATTACAACCAATCAATCATCGAAAATAATTGGTCAGCATCATTTATCAAATTTTTCTGGTTATGTTTGTTGCTGCACAAAAAACAAAGAAAAAACATGTAGTTCTTATGAGTCTTTTTGCAAATTTAACATCTTTAAAGGATGACTAGTATGTTAGGAACATAAATTTCCTGGAGTCTTTAAGATAAATTCAATCCTGACTTGGAACAAGCTTGTAATGTTTATGAAATGTAAAAGACAAAACCAACCTTGTGAAAAATATTGTTAATGCAATCAAGTGTACCAGAATTGTTTGTGTTCGATTATGAGAAAACATGATTGCTTGGTCGTTTAGTCATTGCGACAAATCTTCAATTATTTCAATTAATCGGACCACCACTATGCAGTACAGGGAAAGAAACCTTTCAAAATGTCCCACTAGACCACAGGACCAGTGAGTGGGCAATAATTAGTGGTCCTGTCTGTACTTCACTTGTCCAAAACAACAGTCGTAGATTTACTTAACTATCGATACAAAATTCACTGGCCACCAGGAACACTTCAAACTTATCATTTAGTGGTCCTGATTAATATTTACTAGCCAGGGACCACAGGACCAGAGTAAATTTCCCACACTGCAGTATCATTTACAACTATTGTTGGTGGTGCAACTACTATAGTCTGTTGCAGTGAAAACATACCAATGAATTTCACTTTAAACAAAAAAAGTAAATCAAATAAAGTGAAATTCAAATCGCTATTATTGGTTTGTATTACAAGGGAGTAAACGCAGTAATTGGAACAGTGATACAAATGCACGTGATGAGCGTTAATTAGACCAACCCTACTTCTTCTCGGTGTTTCATCTAATGTGCATACCCCCTTGTAATACAATCCAACAATAGCGATTTGAAACTATGATCGTTTGTTAAACAACTTTTATCCTAAGTTGAATAAAATTCTGAGATTTAAATGTTCAATTGGCAAGGTATAATCATGAGGATTTGTACTTCTAATTTCACTTTATTTGATTTACGTTTTTCTTTTGAAGTGAAATTCATTGGTACGTTTTCACTGCAAACAGACTATAGCATTATAACATCAGAACAACCTTGACCATGTTGACAGCGGTGGGTTAGCCTAGTGGTTAAAGCGTTCGCTTGTCACACCAAAGTCGCACCCAAGTTTGATTCCCCACATGGGTACATTGTGTGAAGCCCATTTCTGGTGTCCCCTGCCGTGATATTGCTGGAATATTGCTAAAAGGGGCGTAAAACCCAACTCACTCACTCACTCGTGAGACAGTGTCTACATTTATTTAGCTTCAAAGAAACCGTTTGCTTGACTAATATGTTCAGCAATAGGGACTGGGTTTCCAGTTTCCAGTGTAGAACTTATCCTTTCTGACTTAATGCTGTCCTTGCTATATGATACCCGTGAAGATCCGGGTTAGAATTGGTCTTCAGTAACCCATGCTTGTCGTAACAGGCTACCAACTGGATCGGATGCTCAGGCTTGCTGACTTGGTTGACACATGTCATCAAATCACTGTTGCGCAGAACTATGATCATGCTGTTGATCACTGGATTGTCTGGTCCAGACTCGATTATTTACAGACTGTCGCCATATAGCTGGAATATTGCTGAGTGCGGCGTTAAAAAAAATCCGTCTATCAATCAATCTTATTATGCTGTTGCATTAAATAAACCTAACACCAAATTATGTGCAAGATTATGTGCCAACAAATGTGAAAAATTTCTTCAGTCCTTGCCAAAGTGCCCTGTGTCTTAGCAGGGCTCCATTTAGTGCCTTGTTACTTGCACTGGTGCAACCCAATATTACAAAGTGCAACCTAGTTATGAGTCTTAACTTGCACAAGGTGCAAGTCAACTTTTGAGAAATAAATCTACAATAAATCTAACATTATCAGCATAAATATGTCAGCTCATTTTTCTTCTAAACTTTGAATGGCTATGACACTGAAATATTGCTATTCATATACGTGTTTCAGCTATGACAGCTCTTGTAAACAGGGATCAGCTGTGTCTCTGTGTTGCTATGGTTTCATAGGTACTACATCACGGAAATATATGTTTATGTGCACCGAAACCTCTGACATTTTAACACACTACGTTGCAACTGGAATTTGGCTGGTGCAACTAGGTTTTTATCTTAGGTTGCACCTGGTGCAAGTAGGTTAACCTCTCTTAAATCGAGCCCTGCTTAGACCTGCATAACTTCAGGCTTTTCTGTTGTTAGGACAATAATGATATTGTGATTTTGTGACAGTATTGATATTATATATATTGATATTATGGTGTTCGGCAGTGGAAGTATGGAGCCAGCGTTCCACCGAGGCTGACCTTCTGTTCCTCACCAACTACAAGGAGGAACCAATCCGTGTTGGGGAGATCGTGGTGTTCAAGGTGGAGGGCCGAGACATCCCCATCGCATTACACAGAGTCCTCAAAGTGCCACGAGAGGTAAGTGATGCTGGCCCAACACATTGAGTTGTCTATAGTTCAGCACACTTTAATCTATCACCATGAAAAGTACAGGCTGGCCCTACTGATTTCTTCATCAGTTACCCATGAAGATCTGGGTCTGAATTGATCCTCAGTAACCCATGCTTGTCGTAAGGGCGACTAACAGAATCAGGTGGTCAGGCTCGCTGACTTGGTTGACACATGTCATCGTATCCCAATTGCTTAGATCGATGCTCAAGCTGTTGATCACAGGATTGTCTGGTCCAGACTCGATTATTTACAGACTGCCACCATATAGCTGGAATATTGGTCAGTGCGGCATAAAACTTAACTCACTCACTATTCATCAGTACTTCAATGTTCGTGGTTACAGTCGCCATGAATAGTAAGTATTTGTACATGTACACACAGTAATGCATCGACAGTCATGCACACTGGCGTATATGCACAAACACCATCAATCTCATGCACGTGCACTGGTTAGAGCATCCGCCTGGAGAGCGGAAGGTCGCGGGTTCGATCCCCGACGACCGCGTCATACCAAAAGGCGTTAAAATATGGTACTTGTTGGTCCCTGCCTGGCTCTCAGCATTAATGGGTACAACAAGGACTGGTCGGCTCGGTGTCAGTATAATGTGTCTGAGTGGGGTATTAATGTTTAACTGCGGCATGGTATCTCAGTGAGCCGGCACTATAACACCAGCTTAAGTCTGGGCTTGTACAAGCAGCCACCCATACACACACAGGGGTGGAAATAACTTTAAAATTGCTAGTGTACTCCGGTACAGTGGCACATGTAAAATCACTTGCCCTGATAAGTTTTCCACTATACCGTCCGTTTTCGTGTTGATTTTTTTAAATAAACAACATTATTTACATTGGAAAGTCAACTGGACACCGGTACAGCGTGATATACAAATTTGCTTGCCAGACAAAAAAAACACTGGACTCGGACGTCGGGCAATGGGTTATTTCCACCCCTGACACAAATGCACGTCGTTATGTGAGCGAAATGTTGTTAAGTGCGACGTTAATCCCCATTCACTGTGTTGTTGCTCCAGGGACGACGGTACAGTCAAGTTCTTGACCAAGGGAGACAACAACTCAGTAGATGACCGAGGCCTGTATGCTCCTGGTCAGCTGTGGCTGGAGAAGAAGGACGTGGTCGGTCGAGCAAGAGGGTGAGTAAAGAAGCCGCTCTATTAACGATATCTGATGATAAAGGCTTATGCAGAACCGTAAAAATTTGTCTTTTGATTTAGCCAAGAGGCTTGTCGCTTGTTCTTAGTAACTGAAACTAGTCAGGTTCGGGGGCGACAAGAAGGGGTTAAAGTGTTCGCTCGGGTTGGATATCATCGAAAATGTCCTTTTGTGGAGATTTAAGTCCTGAAATATCTCCATGATCCTTCAATTGTTTATCGAAGTCTCCCACCATAACAGTGCTCCTTGTTGAACTTCATGTTATTCCGTCACACCGAAGACCCGGGTTCGAATCCCCACATGGGCACAAAGTGTGAAGCCCATTTCTGGTGTCCCCGGCCGTGATGTTGCTGGAATATTGCTAAAAGCGGCGTAAAACCATACTCAGTCAGTCATGTTATTCATTTGTTTCAGATTCGTGCCTTATGTTGGCATTGTGACGATATTGATGAACGATTATCCAAAATTTAAGGTATGTATTTGACACAGACTTGGAATATATACTGTTAGTTTGCTGTTAAGTTTCAGCGGTGCGGTGGGGTAGCCTAGTGGTTAAAGCTTTGGCTCGTCACGCCGAGGACCCGGGTTCGAATCCCCACATGGGTACAATGTGTGAAGCCCATTTCTGGTGTCCCCCGCCGTGATGTTGCTGGAATGTTGCTAAAAGCGGCGTGAAACCAAAACTTAGTCAGTTAAGTTTCAGCAGCTTGATTCTTTATAGAGGGGTGGTGGGGTAGCCTTGTGGCTAAAGCGTTGGCTCATCACACCGAAGGCTTAGGGTTTGATTCCCCACATGGGTACAATGTGAGAAGCTCATTTGTGTTGCCCTCAGCTGTGATATTGCTGGAATATTGCTGAAAGCTGCGTAGAAAAAATCATCCTCACTCACTCAATCATTTTAGAGGGGCGGTACGGGTAGCTCAGTGGTTAAAGTGTTAGCTCATCACACCGAAGGCCTGGTTACATGGATACAATGGGTGAAGACCACTTCTGGTGTCGTATTTCTGCTGGAATATTGCTGAAAGTGGTATAAACTCCCTTTCTGGGTCTCAGTCCTGCCCGACCGCCTCCGTAGTGTGGTGGTTAGAGCATCCGCCCGGAGAGCGGAAGGTCGCGGGTTCGATCCCCAACCGCGTCATACCAAAAGACGTTACAATATGGTACTTGTTGGTCCCTGCCTGGCGCTCGGCATTAATGGGTACAACGAGGACTGGTCGGCTCGGAGTCAGTATAATGTGTCTGAGTGGGGTATTCATGCTTCACTGCGGCATGGTATCTCAGTGGGCTAGCACTATAAAACCAGCTTCAGTCTGGGCTAGTACAAGCAGCCGCACATACACATACACACGCATGCTCGTCGTCATATGAGCGAAATATTCTCCAGCACGACGTTAAACCCAATTTCACCTCACCTCACCTCACCTCAGTCCTGCCCAACCATGAAGTATAAGTGTGGTGTCTCCATAGACAGGTGACTTTGTTCACTGGGCAGTCAGTGGGTACCCAGTAGTGTTGGGAATTGGTGTAAATCTCATAATTGATGATTGGTTCATTACAACCGATCAATCATCGAAAATAATTGGTTAGCGTCATTTATCAAATTTTCCTGGTTATGTTTGTTACTGAACAAAAAATAAAGAAAAAACATGTAGTTCTCTCGGTTTTTTCCGCAAATTGCACAAAATGCATTTGCAAATTTCACATCTTTAAAGGATGACTAGTGTGTTAGGAACATACATTTCCTGGAGTTGTTAAGATAAACTTAATCATGACTTGGAACGAGCTTGTAGTGCTTATGCAATGTCGAGACAAAATCAACCTTTTGAAAAATATTGTTATTGCAAACAAGTGGTCCAAAATTGTTTGTGTTCGATTATGAGAAAACATGATCGATTGCTTGGTCGTTTTGTCATTGCGACCAATCTTCGATTATTTCAATTAATCGGACCACCACTAGTACCCAGTATAATGGGTCCTTCGGGTATATGTAGGATTACCATGAAGCTGACTGAACACACATTAATTACAGTCATTTAACAATGTAGTTTAACAAAAATATTTGCCAGCATAAAAAGAGTGGAAAAAAATAACTTGTCCGCAGGTTTTACCTCTTCCTGTTTTTGAACCTCAACCTATGATTTTAACCCCCTATGTAATAACCATCCTCCACGTTGTAAAACAACCCCCACCTCCCCCTTTATGTTGTAAACATGTAACCACCCCCATATTGGAACCTCTGCCAGTGTTATAACACCTCCAGCCCGCTTTATGGTAACCTCTCCCCATGTTGTACCACCTCCAGACCCTGCTTGGTTGTAACCTCTCCCCATGTTATAACACCTCCAGACCCTGTTTTGTTGTAACCTCTCCCCATGTTATAACACCTGCTGCCCCCGTTTTGTTGTAACCTCTCCCCATGTTATAACACCTCCAGCCCGTTTTGTTGTAGCCTCTCCCCATGTTATAACACCTCCAGCCCCCGTTTTGTTGTAAACTCTCCCCATGTTATAACACCTCCAGCCCGTTTTGTTGTAGCCTCTCCCCATGTTATAACACCTCCAGCCCGTTTTGTTGTAACCTCTCCCCATGTTATAACACCTCCAGCCCGTTTTGTTGTAACCTCTCCCCATGTTATAACACCTCCAGCCCCCGTTTTGTTGTAACCTCTCCCCATGTTATAACACCTCCAGCCCCCGTTTTGTTGTAACCTCTCCCCATGTTATAACACCTCTGTGTTGTAACCTCTCCCCATGTTGTACCACCTCTGTGTTGTAACCTCTCCCCATGTTGTACCACCTCTGTGTTGTAACCTCTCCCCATGTTGTACCACCTCTGTGTTGTAACCTCTCCCCATGTTGTACCACCTCTGTGTTGTAACCTCTCCCAATGTTAATGTTATAACACCTCCAGCCCGGTTTGTTGTACCCTCTCCCCGTGTTGTTCCACCTGTGTTGTAACCTCTCCCCATGTTATAACAGCTCCAGCCGTTTTGTTGTAACCTCTCCCCATGTTGTACCACCTCTGTGTTGTAACCTCTCCCCATGTTGTACCACCTCTGTGTTGTAACCTCTCCCCATGTTGTACCACCTCTGTGTTGTAACCTCTCCCCATGTTGTACCACCTCTGTGTTGTAACCTCTCCCATGTTGTACCACCTCTGTGTTGTAACCTCTCCCCATGTTGTACCACCTCTGTGTTGTAACCTCTCCCCATGTTGTACCACCTCTGTGTTGTAACCTCTCCCCATGTTGTACCACCTCTGTGTTGTAACCTCTCCCAATGTTGTACCACCTCTGTGTTGTAACCTCTCCTAATGTTGTACCACCTCTGTGTTGTAAACTCTCCCCATGTTGTACCACCTCTGTGTTGTAACCTCTCCCCATGTTATACCACCTCTGTGTTGTAACCTCTCCCCATGTTGTTCCACCTCTGTGTTGTAACCTCTCCCCATGTTATAAAACCTCCTGCCCCCGTTTTGTTGTAACCTCTCCCCATGTTGTTCCACCTCTGTGTTGTAACCTCTCCCCATGTTATAACACCTCCAGCCCCCGTTTTGTTGTAACCTCTCCCAATGTTGTACCACCTGTGTTGTAACCTCTCCCCATGTTATAACACCTCCAGCCCCCGTTTTGTTGTAACCTCTCCCAATGTTGTACCACCTGTGTTGTAACCTCTCCCAATGTTGTACCACCTGTGTTGTAACCTCTCCCCATGTTATAACACCTCCAGCCCCCGTTTTGTTGTAACCTCTCCCAATCTTGTACCACCTGTGTTGTAACCTCTCCCAATGTTGTACCACCTCTGTGTTGTAACCTCTCCCAATGTTGTAACCGCCACCGCAGGGAAAGTTAAATGGCCACCCTCTCAGCTGTTTAAGATTGGAGATAAAATGTCTGCCTTCTTATAATGGTAATTGTTTCTCTTTCTTTCAGTATGCTATTTTAGCATGTCTCGGGATCTTCGTGTTGATACATCGAGAATGATCATGTGACCTCATCAGCCAATCACCAGTTATTTCATTTCATTGAGGCGAGAGCGGATGTAACTTTTCGATGTTAAACAGACTGAAATGCATCTACATGACAGGTCATTAACTGCTTGGATTGGAAAATCTCATGTCTAATCAAATATTGGTAATCATGAATTGCTTGATTTATACACATCATGAATAAAGGCCTTTTTGTAATAACTTGTTTACAGATTTTTCTCTAAAAACTTGAATTCAGTGGTCAAAAAAAGAAAATGTTTAAATATTGTTTTTGTTTGTTGTGTAAAAATATTGTAGGTTGTTATGAAAAATGTATTAATCAGGGGTGGAAATAACCCATTGCCCGACGTCCGAGTCCAGTGTTTTTTCCAGTCGGGCAAGCAAATTTGTATATCACGCTGTACCAATGTCCAGTTGACTTTCCGATGTTAATTATGTTGTTTATTTAAAAAATCAACAAGAAATTGGCCGGTATAGTGGGAAATTATCAGGGCAAGTGATTTTACATGTGCCACTGTACCTGTGTAAATCTAGTAATTTTAAAGTTATTTCCACCCCTGTTAATTAGTGTAAATTAGGTCTCCTGATGACCAAGATACAGGGCCTAGATTTTCGAAGCTCTCTTATCGCTAAGATAGTCGTAAGTGAATGTTAATGAATGGCACTTTTATTATCTTAGCTTAAGAGAGCTTCAAAATTACTGTCATTGTGCCATAGTGAGTTGAAAATCTCATGAGGAATGTCCATGGTTACTGTTTAGGATAAATTTATTTAAAAAATGGGATTTTTCTACTCGGTCGTATTGTGAAAATTCCAAGAAATTATCAGTTGAGAGTTTTCTGTTTCTAATTTCGTGATGTTTCGGTTGGAATATCTGTGAAGCAGTTAATACAGAAATGTCTTTGTGTGAATGAGTAAGTGCTGAAAGTATTGTTTGAGATATGTCTCCTCCCATTGTTAAGGATGCCACTTGTTAAAGGTAGGGTAGTCTAGTGGTTAGAGTGTTCGCTCATCACGCCAAAGACCCAGGTTCGATTCGCCACATGGGTACCATGTGCCAAGCCCATTTCTGGTGTCCCCCGTCAAGATGTTGCTGGAATATTGATAAAAGCGGTTTGAAACTAAACTCACTCACTCATTGACTCAAACAACAAATGGATGACTGCTTGGTTTATACCTTCCCATGGGGCAGTCGGGTAGCCTAGTGGTTAAAGCGTTTACTCGTCATGCCAAAGGCCTGGGTTCAATGCCCTACATGGGTATTAGGGGTGGGTATTGCAGAGAATTTTGGTATTGCGATATATTGCGATGCGGAAGCATATATTGCGATATGTATTGCAATATATTGCAAGGATTATTTTTTTTAACAAAAACTACTTATAATCCAGTTAAAGATTGATTATAAAGCAAAAACACAACAAAATCACTATGATTGATTAACCTTTTATAAAAACTTTTGATCATGACAAAATAAAAATGTAAGTAACATTTGGCACTAATGAAACAGGGAAAAGAACAATTAAAAAAACGGAAATATCCGAAGATTTTCGAATGTTACGAAGTTTTCCGGATGCATGTCAAAATACCGGTTTTCCATCAGCGTCACGCAATACGTATTATTTTCATGTCTGAACCGGTAAATTCCAGTAAACCGGTTATATTGCGCAGCACTAATGGGTATAATGTGTGAAGCCCATTCCTGGTGTGGACAAATGGCCTGTGTAATAAATGGGAGAAACCCTGCCATATGGTGACCTTGCCATATGGTGACCTTGCCATATGGTAACCTTGCCATATGGTGACCTTGAACTTGCCATATGGTGAAGTTGAACTTGCGAGTTGGTGTGAATGGAATAAATAATCAGGGGTTGAAAAATACCATTACCCCATGCCCGTGTCTAGTGAAATTCTCCGGTCGGTCAAGTAAATATCCACATTAATCTTTACTATGGTGCAGTAGTGTCAAACTACTGATATGTTTTGATATTTGTATTTGATGATGAAATAAAAATGCAATTGCTACCAAATGGTAAAGATTATTTGCAAAAGAAACCAAATTGTGGTCAAGGAAATTAATATTTGGTCAAGTGAATTTTGAAAGTTTACTGGACCTGTGTCCAGTAGAGTTTTGAAAAGAATTTCAACCCCTGATATTTCAAGTAATATTTGAAATTAGAGTAAGCTAAAAAAGTAATGTTTCATTAAATACTCTGTTGTATACTGCATTTAGAAGCTGTTGTATCAGAGAAGACTTTTTCAACTTTGTTATTTCAACGTGATGTTTCTGTACATTGTACCATCATTAGTCTCATGTAACGTCAGCCTTGTGTACGAGAGTTGAATAGGGCTGGTTAAAATTATCGATAATCGGAAATATCGTTGATAAGAAAAATGATTAATGATTATCGATGTGAAAAGTGTGCTATTAACTTGTGTGACAAAAATAGTTTAAATTTTCTCACATAACATACAAATTTAGGACTTTATTCATTGTCTGCATATAAATTATGTTCAAGACGATGTTTTGTAAGTAGTTCAGGCAAAATATGTCACCACTCACAGTGATGTGAAATATATTCATTTCTTTCAGACTTTTTGGGCATCTGTTCCTTGATATTGATCAATAATTGATCGAGATTTAATTAATGATTATCGATCTCTATGATCTATAATGATAATCAGCCCTACAGTCCGTTTGTGCTCAAAAGCGGACCGATGAAGCTGAAAACTAATAAACGATGAATTGAAACAATCATAACTTTCGAGAAACTAATAAACATAAAATACTCAATGAAACACTGATCATAATCAAAGCGACAGAGTTGGTGTGATGCACAGCACAGATTAATGATTATGATCTCTGCACTCCTCCCTCGTAACAAATAGTGAACTGTCAAAATTTTAATTAATTTGATAAACAACTTTTAATTTTAGTACATATATTCTGCAAATAAATTTATTAGTTTTCGAGTTAGATTGAGTTTTATATTTATTAGTTTCGTTAGATCAAAGCCAAACGACTAAAGACTTGAACACTGTCTTCATTGAACAACTGAAATCAAAATATCTGCCAGTCATTCATTAGTTTCATGGAAGGCCATATCGAGAGTGACAGTTTTACATGTTTAAGGATTTGAATATGGTGGTTTGGAAAATCTGCTGAGTGTATGGTTTGCTTGCTTTGCTGGCAGGGTGTTGAAGGATATCTGGGTGTGGTGTTGAAGGATATCTGATTGTGGTGGGGGGCTTATGGAATGTTATCCTATAAGTTTCTAAATGAGACTGAGGTGGTGGGGTAGCCTCATGGTTAAGGCGTCCGCTTGTCACGCTGAAGACCCGGGTTCGATTCCCCACATGGGTACAATGTGTGAAGCCTATTTCTGGTGTCCCCCACTGTGAAAATGCTGGAATATTGCTAAAAACAGCGTAAAACCCAACTCACTCACTCATTCACCTCATGAGACAGTACAAGACATTAGCTTAGAATACAGGATCTAAGGCCAGACCAACTTTATTTCTTTTTTTACAGATCCGCTAGTGGTATTTTTTCAACTTACAAGAATACGAAAAAAAATAAAAATCAATTTTTCCCCGCTCAATAAAAAAATCCTCATGTTTTTATTGGCCAAATTTGTAAACTTACAAAAAAAATGCAAAAAATTATTGTTTTTTCATAAATTGCCAAAAATAAATGTTTTTAGTAGTTAAAAGGAATATTACTTTGACAGGTGATTTAAATTTTTTATTATATTCTGTCCTGCATTTAGGTTTTCTGAGAACAAAAATCCGTAAAACAAGAAATACAATTGGTCTGGCCTTATATGGAAAATACACTACAAAACAACAAGCCAGTAAATCACGGTACTACCATGTAATGAGACCGAGTGTGGTATTTATTTATTACCAGTTTACATGCATTAAATTGACAAAATGCGTGAAGTTTTGTTAATATTTTGGTTTCAAGAGGAAACCGGTTTCATAAATTTTTGCGGGTTTTGTACTGTAGTACAATATTTGCATAGCGTCACTGTAATGGCGTCACTGCCTTAAACCGACGATCACGATGCATGTCAGTTGTCTTCGCCTCATTACAGCCTCCTACAGTAAACTACTCCGTAGCACCCGTTTCTTGGTTTCAGCCTGCTTCATTCGGCTAACATCACTGGTGGAAACATTGCGTTTACGTTTTTCGGATGGGTATAATGTCTCAGTTAGACTCACAATAAAACAGCCCATTTCGCGATGTTTACATTCCCACAATGCATTTAGTTGTAGAATGAATGGATCCACGTGTTTGTTATGAATGAAAAAGTAGTTCCGTCACAACATGACCTAACTGAGAGGTCATCGGGTTATCCAATCAAACTAAACAGGTCAAGTCAGACACAGTCAACGCTACATTTTGGTGTCTGAGATTAAAACTCCCTCTGACCGTGGGTAATAATAGTGTATATCTAATCCAGTTTCATTTGATGATGCTCTGAGTCATTTGATGATGCTTGACGGCCAAGCTTATAAACATATTTACAATCAATTATTAGGGTGAAAGTGGCTGTTTCTAACTCTGAGGCAGTGTGTAGCCAAGAGGTTAGAGCATTTGCTTGTCTCACCAAAGGTCCAGGTTCGATATCACAACATGTGAAACCTTTTTTCTCTTGTCACCAGCTGCCGTATTGCAAATATACTTAATACACTAACTCAAAATACATATTGTTAGTGGAAAGTGTAGTAAAATATTTATGTCTTCTTCTTATCAATTACAAACATGATAAATGCTTTGATGAATCTTCAATTGGTTTAAGGTGGCATATTGGAAATTGTTATTTTATATTGTTTGAACAGTTAACTGACATCTCTGTCCTGGAGCTGCTTTTGTTTGTTTGTTTGTTTGTTTGTTTATTTGTTTGTCATCGTGGTAGTGGTACACTAGCTCTCATTCATATATTAGTAGGTTCATTGTCAGGTTGGGGGCTGTGGGGTAGCCTAGTGGTTAAAGCGTTGGCTCGTCACGCCGAAGACCCGGGTTCGAATCACCACATGGGTACAATGTGTGAAGCCCATTTCTGGTGTCCCCCGCCGTGATGTTGCTGGAATATTGCTAAAAGCGGCGTAAAACCAAACTCAGTCATTGTCAGGTTGCAAGTTATTTGTTTTGTTTGTTTTCCAGCAAGATTAAAATATATTTCCATTTTGTTTGGATGCAAAATAAGTTGTCAAGAAAAAAAATAATTTGGGATCCAAACAGCAGTTTTATAAAATATACAATTTTCAGTTAACAGAAAGGGGCATAGAATGATGATTAATCCTGCAGAAATAGCCAGCACAAAATTGTCCCCCCTTTTTACAAAGATTTAGTCATTTCTGTCTTCATAATAATGAAAACATGAAACATTCTTTGAGTCAATCTGGCCCCGATTTCTCGAAACAAACTTAAGTTTTTACTCAAATTTGACAGTTTGAAACAGCTGAATTTTTAACAAGACTGCATATTTTTAATTAAAAAATCCCAAACAACTTAAGTAATCTATCCACCAAACTCAAATTGTCTACTAAGTTTGAGTTTAATATTGATTTCAGTTTATTCTGGGAAATGCATTTTCCTGTGTTTTCTCAAATTTGAGTAAAAAACTCTGACTTAAGTCCAAACTCAGACTTAAGTTTGTTTCGAGAAATCGGGTTCTGATTTATAATCATGAGTCCCGTTTCTTTTGTTGTTGGATGCCACTATGAGAACTTTGATAACTTATTACCAACTGCTGACTTATATCTAGTATTCATTCTAGCATCTATATCAGTATCTAGTGCTGGAGAAAATATGTGTATATGGAAGATTATGGATGAACATTATTGTTATTGTACACTCATGCTTTGTAAATTGTTCATCAGTCATATCTTTGACAAAATGTTGCATCAATAAAAAATAGATTTTGTTACTGTGTTGAGTTGTGTCTGTTAGTGTTGCTTGAGTCAAAACAATAGAGGTGGAGGGGTAGTCTAGTGGTTAAAGCGTTCGCTCATCACACCGAAGACCTGGGTTTGATTCCCCACATGGGTGTGAAGTGTGAAGCCCATTTCTGGTGTCCCCTGCCATGATATTGCTGGAATATTGCTGGAATATTGCTAAAAGCGACGTAAAACCATGCTCACTCACTCACTCAAAACAGACATCTGTTGGGAGACTGTGTAGGACATTTTACTGGCCTCTCAGATCTGTACCCATGAAGATCGTGAAATGAAATGTGACAGTGAGATAATTATTTATTTATTTTTCACTTTATTTCTTTTTTACCGAGATAATTATGTTGTGACAGATACCTAGAACAAATAGTCATCTTTTCATTTCAAATAGTTCGTGACCGCCTCCGTGGTGTAGTGGTTAGAGCGTCCACCCGGAGAGCGGAAGGTCGTGGGTTCGATCCCGACCGCGTCATACCAAAAGACGTTAAAATATGGTACTTGTTGGTCCCAGCCTGGTGCTCGGCATTAATGGGTACAACAAGGACTGGTCGGCTCGGAGTCAGTATAATGTGTCTGAGTGGGGTATTCATGCTTCACTGCGGAATGGTATCTCAGTGGGCTAGCACTATAAAACCAGCTTCAGTCTGGGCTAGTACAATCAGCTGCACCTACACATACACACGCATGCACGTCGTCATATGAGCGAAATATTCTCAATCACGATGTTAATCCCAATTTCACCTCAACTCAAATAGTTCGATGTTACCTTGATTTACTTTAATTCAGACCCAAAATCCGGGTTAGAATTAGTCATCAACAACGCATCTTTGTCGTAAAAGGAGATTAACAGGATTATGTGGCCAGGCTCGCTGACTTGGTTGACACATCAACGTATCCGAACTGCATAGATTGATGCTCCCGCTGTTAATCACTGACTGGCCCATGCTCATTATCCCGCAACGCGTTGTGGGGGGGATATTAAAATGGACTCTGTCTGTCCGTCCGTCCGTGCACATTTGTCTTTTCCGGAGCAGAACTCTAAAACCGTTAAATATTTCTTCACCAAACTTGGCACATACATGGATCTGGTAGTGTACTGGTGCCTTTTGGTAGTTTTGGAATTCTGAATAAAATATTTTGGGCGTTTCCATGGCAACAAGTTCGACTTTGACTGAAATTAGTGGTAGTGCTCTTTTCCAGAGCAGAACTCTAAAACCGTTCAATATTTCTTCACCAAACTTGGCACATAGATAGATCTGGTGTGGTACTTGTGCCTTTTGGTAGTTTTGGAATTCTGAGTAAAATATTTTTGGCGTTTCCATGGCAACATGTTTGACTTTTGAAATTAGTGGTAGTGCTCCTTTCTGGAGCAGAACTTTAAAAACCTTTCAATACTCTCCTTCCACTTTTCTATATACACACCTAAATATTTGACATAATCATGAAGAGTATTTTGCCACTGCGGGGGATATTGATGACTTTGTCTTCTTGTTTATTTACATACTGGAGAGACTGCAGCGTTAAACAAATCAATCTGTTCAGGACTGCCTCCATGGTCTAGCAGATAGTGTCTGCATGGAGAACAGTGAGTGAGTGAGTTTAGTTTTACGCCACACTCAGCAATATTCAAGCTATATGGTGGCGGTCTGTAAATAATCGAGTCTCGACCTGACAATCCAGTGATCAACAGTATGAGCATCGATCTAAGTCCTACATTTGGAACCGACGCTGTCGAGTGTGGGTAGAATCAGGAACTGCTCATTTGTGTGCGATGTTTGTATGTATTATTATTACCCACATGGTCAACGTATGGGTAGTTGCATACTGATCTCGTACGTCACACGAGTGTCGTATCGCGTTGACCTGTGTCGTAACGACTTGACCTGAGATTCTAACGATTTGATTGGATAACCGATGACCTCTCAATTAGGTCACATTCTGACGTAACTATATTTTCATTCATAACAAACACGCGAATTCATTCATTCTACAACTTGAATGCATTGTGGGAATGTAAACATTGCGAACGTTGCCGTGTCGCTGTTTAATTGTGAGTCGAACTGAGACATTATATCCGTCGAAAAACATAAACGCAATGTTTCCACCAGTGATGTTAGCCGAATGAAGCAACTGCAAACCAAGAAACGGGGTGCTACGGAGTAGTTTACTGTAGGAGGCTGTACAAGGCGATGACAACTGACGTGCATCGGGATGTCGGTTACCAAAGCAGTGACGTCATTACAGTGTGACGTCATGCAAATATTGTACTACAGTATAAACTCTTCCGCAACCTCTTTATGAAACCGGTTTCGGTTTGAAACCAAAATATGAACAGAAATACGTTATTTTGTCAGACGTGGGTAATAAATAAAATACCACACTTGGTCTCATTACATACGAATTATACGAAGCTTTCGCTCGGTCAGATACCATGGGAAGGACACTCGTTTCGTATAATTCGTATGTAATGAGACCTCGTGTAGTATTCTCTATTTAATACGCAGCGAATATTGTCTTGCAACATTCCCGCGAGTCGAATACCATTCGATCATGTTTTTCAACCAATCAGATTAAAGAACACAGTGACTTTTGGTTTACAATACACCTTCAACATGTACATGGCTGCCTATATGCACGAAACACGTTCAACGAACACATTTCCTGTATAACCATGTATTGATGCTGCAATCTTGTATTGAGTTTTATGCAAAATGTGTTTGTGAAATACTGTAGTAAATAAGGGCAAAAGACAATGTCTTGCTTCTTGCCACAGCCTCTGTGGTGTAGTGGTTAGAGAGCCCAGAGAGCGGAAGGTCACGAGTTCGATTCCCGACCGCGTCATACCAAAAGACGTGAAAATATGGTACTTGTTGGTCCCTGCCTGGCACTCGGCATTAATGGGTACAACAAGGACTGGTCGGCTCGAAGTCAGTATAATGTGTTTGAGTGGGGTATTCATGCTTAACTGCGGCATGGTATCTCAGTGAGCTAGCACTATAAAACCAGCTTCAGTCTGGGCTAGTACAAGCAGCCACACATACACATGCATGAGCGAAATATTCTTAAGTACGACGTTAAACCCTATTTCACCTCACCTCAATTTGGCATATACATCCACAACGCTTTAGAAAGTGGTTAGATGTGACAAGTGCACTTGTACACATCCTGTTATTTTTGGAGTTTAGTCCAACTCTCAGAGTATGACACTTAAGCGGCAAGCTTGTATTGGGTTTAATATAAAATGTGTTCAACATAGTCTGTTTGCAGTGAAAACGTACCGATGAATCTCACTTTAAACAGAAACGTAAATCGAATAAAGTGAAAATAAGATTGCGAATCCTCCTAATTTTACCTTACCAATTGAACATTTAAATCTCAGAATTTTATTCAACTTAGGATAAAAGTTGTTTAACAAACGATCATGGTTTCAAACCGCTATTATTGGTTTGTATTACAAGGGGGGTATGCACATTAGATGAAACACCTAGAACATGTATGGTTGGTCTAAGTTAACGCTCATCACCTACCGCACGTGCATTTGTTTCACTGTTCCAACTACTACGCTTACTCCCTTGTAATACAAACCAATAATAGCGATTTGAATCTATGACCGTTTCACCTCATTGATTTACTTTTTTTGTTTAAAGCGAAATTCCTCGGTACGTTTTCATTGCAAACAGACTATAATCCGGGTCCAAACCTTTGAGGTACAGTCGAGCGTACTTACCACATCATTGCATTTGCTGAATCTGCTCTTGCATGTACATGATAAAGACATAACTCTACAGGCAAAATGATAACATGTATGCAAATTACTATTAATGTGATGACTTCCCATTTACGAGATAATTATATTCTTTTGATTTTTTATTTGTTTGCATTGTGAGATGATATACACAATGTATGCACAAATTATATAAATATTCATGTACGAATCTGCATGCAACAGCTTGTCTGTGTGACTAGGAATGTAAACCTGGAGTCTGCAGTTGTCTAGCTATTGTAAAGCTAAGATCATCATCTGTCTGGGTGGATGGAGACCTAGGGGAAAGCTGCTTCCAGACAACCGTAAGTTAAACACATCAGAGTTCGAGACAACCATGTTTGACTTTGCTATGTTCGCCGTCCAGAGAATGTAAAACGTTCAGTTAAGAAAACATTTTTAAATTACCAATTTGAGAGTCAACGACAGCTGTAATTGCATGAGACTGACGAAGTTTGGTTTTACGCCGCTTTTAGCAATATTCCAGCAACATCACGGCGGGGAACACCAGAAATGGGCTTCACACATTGTACCCTTGTGGGGAAGCGAACCCGGGTCTTCGGCGTGATGAGCCAATGCTTTAAACACTAGGCTACCCCACCGCCCCTAATTGTATGAGAATTCCATTGAACAACTGCTAACAGTTCGCTGGAACA